ATTGTACTTTTTATTCCACTACATTTATTTAACAGCTGCTGTTACTAATTACCTTACAGATTAATATTTTATATACAAACACAGAGTAGAATAAGGTTATAAAATACAATGCATAGTCACAGATTAAACCTGAAGTTCCCAAACGTTTTAGCATGTGACTTGTTATGTTGTGGGGACAGAGTGGACCCAAACGCAACACTCGGGATGAACAGGCTTTATTGAAGGGGGAAAAGGGGTTGAGGGAGTGGAGGAGAGGGAGAGGCGGACGCCGCCGGGGAACCGAAGAGACTGAGACAGGGGAGCCGGGGGCACTGGGGACCGAGGAGGACGCCGTGAAAGAAGTCCGAGGGGAGAGGGCAGGGTGGCAAGCCCAGCTGACGGAACAGAGGACCGAGGTGAGTGAACCTGGAGGGGAGATGGACAGACAGACAGGGTTAGACACAGGGGAAAACAGAGTACAGGGAAACAGAAATGATGCAGAATACTCAGCGCTTGAGTAGTGAAGTGGCACCAGGTAAGGAGCAACACAATCAAGCGGAGATGGTGTGGAGAACCGGGGTTGATATACAGGCAGGGATGAGGTTGATTGCTGGCAGGTGTGGCAGGCAGAGGAGGTGGCTGAGGAGTTGCAGGTGTGGGCCGTTGGCTGAGCTCAGGAGCAGAGGGAGAGAGAGAGGGAGAGCACACGCAGGGGAGGAGACACAGCGAGGCAGGCAGAGTACAGGAAAACAGTGGGAGAAATGAAATGAGAAAAAACCAGGACACTTACCGTCAGCAGGGCTGCCCCCACAACAGGGGGCCCCCAGGCTTATCTGGATGGGCCCTGTAAAAGTCCATGTGGTGTCCAAACAATAATGCTGCGATGATGTGTTGAGAAGAAACCCGCTTGACACTGTTCTTGATCATAAAAGTTTATTAAATCAAGGAGTTCAGCATCAATTACAAGCTCTGCAGCAGCTTGGAGAGTGACCCAGCCCGATGGCCACTCTGTCTCTCTGTACATCAAACATAGCTTATATAGGATATGTTTAGGTATCTGTTAGGTACCATAGCAGGGTTTGAGTCTGCAAAATAAAAGGTCAAACCCATAGAAGGGTACAGTACTATTCTGAGGTAACAAAACAAGGGGTTAGAGGTCAAATTCTATAGAAGGGTTCAGTCCCTACATAACCACCAATCACTGCTCTCCCCGTAGAAGGTCACTGACCCTCTGTTCTGCTGCTACAGTGCTATTTTGAACTGTTATGAAAATGCACAAATATTGGACACTACATCCGTCAGGAGGGTCTTGTCTAGGATCTGGCTGGAGGGAATCCAGGAGGGCTCCTCTGGGCCATAACAGGCCCAGTCCACCAGGTAGCGGTAGCCTCGACCTCTACGATGCATGTCCAGGAGCCAACGCACCGTGTAGGCGGGGTGACCATCTATCATCTGTGGTGGGGGAGGCGCTGCCACTGGTACGGAGAGGGTGCTGGTGGCGACAGGCTTGACCCTGGAGATGTGGAAAACGGGGTAGACTTTCAGGTCAGGCGGGAAGGTCAGGCGTACAGCGGAGGGGTTAATGACTGTCTCAATGGGATCGGGGCCGGTGAACCGGGGGTGAGTTTCTTGGAAGGGGTCTGCAGGCGGAGGACCCTGGAGGAGAGCCAGATTCGCTGCCCAGGCCAGTAGGTGGGAGCAGGGGCCCGGTGGGGGTCCGCCAGCTGACTCCAGATCCGGCGGCAAAGCCTGAGGTGGGCCTGTACAGAGGGGACTGCCACCTCCTCCTCCAGGGACGGGAACGGGGGGGCTGGTGACCCAAGGCGCACATGAACAGGGACATACCTGTGGCAGCGCTGACCTGGGAGTTGTGTGCGTACTCAATCCAGGGGATGTAGGAACTCCAGGAGGTGGGACTGCGGTACGCCACGCACCTGAATGCTGCCCCCAGGGTCCTGGTTGGCCCACTCGGTCTGCCCGTTGGTTTGGGGGTGATAGCCGGAGGATAGGCTGGCAGTGGCACCAAACGCGTGGCAGAAAGCTTTCCAGACCTGGGAGGTGAACTGGGGTCCCCATTCTGAGACTATGTCCAGAGGGATTCCATGGAGGCAGAAGACATGGTTGATAAGCAAACAGGCTGTTTCCAGAGAGGTTGGGAGTTTGGGCAAGGGAATGAAGTGGGCAGACTTAGAAAAGTGGTCGACAATGGTGAGAATGGTTGTATTTCCGTTAGATCAGGGGAGACCGGTGACAAAGTCCAGGGCGATATGGGACCAGGGACGACCGGGGACTGGAAGGGGGCGAAGCAGACCGGCGGGAGGTTGATGGTAGGGATTGGCGCGGGCGCACACCTCACAAGCCGCTACGAAGGCTCGACAGTACTGGTGCAGCAGGAAGAGGGTGCTGGCCATCCCAGGGTGGCAGCTGAACTTGGAGGCGTGCGCCCACTGGAGGACCCAGGAGCGGACACATGACGGGATGTAGAGGCAGTTCTAAGGGCCGGTGCCGGAGTCGGGCTCGGTGTACTGGGCTCGGCGTATGGCGGACTCCACCTCCCAGACCACCGTGGTGACGAGACAAGAGCGTGGCAAGATGGTGTCGGGGGGTCTGAGGCGGTGTCTGTGGAGTGCAGCTGGGAAAGAGCATCTGGTTTGGTGTCCAGGGCGGTAGGAGAGGGTGAAGTTGAACCGGTTGAAGAACAGGACCCACCGAGCCTGGCGGGAGTTCAGTCTCTTGTCGGTTTATTTAGAGGTAACAGAGTGGCTGGGGAAGAGGAGATGGAGGTGAGGCGGACGCCAGGGGACGTGGGCGCGGAGGACCGAGGAGCTGGTGAGGTGGAGGAGGTGAGGCAAGGTAGCCGTGGGAGGCAGGGGACCAGTGAAGGGAGCGGTGTGGCGGCAGGTGGACTGGCGAGGAGTGGGGGGAGCCAGAGACGGGGTTGGGGACCGTGGACAGGGAACAAGGAGGTGGCGTGGTCTGGGCGGCTGGACCACCGACGGGGTTGATGTCGATCGATCCGCCAACAGGGCATGAGGAGCAGGGGTTGGCCGGGCCACCAGCAGCGTAGCCCCCACAACATGACCCTTTACAAAAAAAATTCCTCACAAAGAGGTGAAATGATCCAAAATGTCACAAAAACAGAAGTTATATATAATAATATATAGCCACAGTGGCCCTACAGAAGAAGAACGGTTACTTTTGAGTACATTTTGCTTTTGTACATTTGTTTTGCCTCGATTTCATTATTTTGGTAAATAAATTCCATCTTTATTTGCTTAGACTTTGCCTATACTTCTTCAGCATCTCCTTTAAAGTTTTACAGTGCCATTCAGCATCTCCTGCCCTGTACACACACACACACACACACACATATATATATATATATATATATATATATATATATACACACATACACACACATATATGACATGAACAGAAAAGCAGTTGAAGTGAAGGCTAAGCAGCAACAGCATCCTAATGCAGTTTGTAAATCCTACAATACTAATAGTGTTAACAATATGTTATATGAACACTCTTTGGCAAGAATATTTGTGGTTTGTTATAATAGCAGGGGGGAAAAAACAGTCTCAGCAGTCTGCTGTGCCCTGGTTTGTTCCATTAGCAGATTTAGACTTGGATAGTCATGAAGACCATCTCAGCTCGGCCCAGAGGCTGTTTTTCAGTTGTTTTATATTACAGAGAAACGGAAGCAACAATAAAGAGAGCAGCTTTGATTTAAAAGATACAATCCATGATTTATTACAGAAAAAAGTGATATCCAAATTATTTTATGTTACATTATTTTTATACATTTCAATATGTTTTTACATGTAAACAGGAACGAAGTCAACAATGTCATTGATATACTTCATGTCACAACTGATACCATCCTATTATGCGGTTAAATCTATGGTCTAACATCACCGTGCTTCCACGTCAAGTCACACATCACTTGCTCAAGCACAATCCTATTAGGAGGCATAGCATAGAACAGAAAGCATAATCCCCCTCTAGACTGCAATGTTTTCAGAGATGTGCAAGGTCATGCCATAATAACTGATTATGCAATACCCATATTGTGCTATTGCCAACAGTGAAAGGCATGAGACACCTTTCCACCACCGCGCAGTATTTGTATTAGTGAGAAGGGACACCGATGCTGCCAGAGAAGAGAAGATAACAGGACAAAGATCCATCTGGAAATTAGTAGTAGCTGGGCAAGTCAAACATTCAAGGTTATGTAGTTATTCATTCATAACTCTCCCAACCAATCCCATAAAGTTAAACACTTCAGCTGTCAGGAGGTAAACATTATTCTAATTCCCAGTTGACTGTTCAAACAGAGCATATTTGAGGATTGACATGTTTCGTTTGATCAGACTCTCCTTGAAATTCAGTCCAGGCCAGATTATAGAAATTAGTCTAGAGTCTAAGATGTTATTTAGAAAATTATCTTACAGTATAAAATTCTGTCAAATCAAGAAACACAATGTCTTGTCATGTTCAACACTGAAAAGCGGAGGTGATATGTTTAAGACGCTGTTAACAACTGTACAGAAGTTAGCTCTGCTCAAGGCAGATGTTAGGTCATGCATACTTTACAGTACCAATGTACCAGTACATTTACATCTGCATTTGTTCAAAATCAACATAGCACTCAAGGATAACAACATGCATAGATTTTCAGTGTTCACATAGCAGGGAAGATATTCTGAAAACCCGGAGTAATTTCTTTAGTATTGGAATATGTTTTAAAAACACTTGTTTGAATCACTGGATTGAACGTTATGAACTGAAAGCATTATTACATCTTACGACCTGCATCATATGTCCCCATGATGGTATTCCATGATTTTCAATATTTTAAAATTTTAAAATAAAAAACATGCTTTAACTGTGAGTGTGCATAATAGTCATGCGAATGCACTACCAGTGCAAAAATATAATTTAAAAAAAGCAGGATTTTAGAAAATATGATAAAAAGTTTATCATCTGCAAACATTCATAAGACACCTGAGAAATGTGGACATTACTTTGTTTATCTGAGGATGAAAACAGGTAAACTCATACTGATAGCACAAAATAAAAAGTATAAAAACATTCCACATATAATAAAATGTATATACAATGCAACATAACTAAACTAATTTAAATAATGTACACTTATTTTTAAATAATGAATAGTTTTTTCAGTGTTGTGCAATGCATTCAGGGTAGTGATATTCTTTACCTTCAGGCGTTAGGTTCATGTAACTTTCACGTTTACTGTGCATAATGTCGTTAATTCTAAATCGTATCAAACATCATATGATCAACATGACCTGTATGGAAGGTCTTGGGCTGATGTTGAAGTTCTCATCACCTACAAAATGAAAACACTCCTCATTAATACTGTTTACTCCACGCACTACACGACTCTCCATCTCATCGTGAATGAAACAGGAAATGATTATGATTCTGACTCAGATTCACAGATGGATACTTCGCACATGCTGCCTGTTTTCCTGAGTTCTGTAATCCATGACATCAGAACTGACCACAAGTAAAGGCAATGTCATGACTCTGCGTTTAACAAAACCGAATTTCTAGGTTTCACATCAATAAAAGGTCCGAAAGCAGCCGACACTGCATCTGACTGTGTGCTTAGTTAGCAAAGGACCCAAACTGAAATATGTTGGTGTACTGTGAGTGACGAACAGTGGTTGGATGTTCTTTGTAAACTTGAACACCCAAGCCACAGGTATGTCTAAGTGATCCAAGTTTCAACCACGCTTCAGGGCTTCCAACAACAAATGAAAAACAGGCTGCGAGCACAGAACGGAAGAGCAGATTTGCAGTTCCTGCGTGCATGTATACATTGTTAATAATGGGAGTCACATTACAACGTACACCGTCGACATGTTTCAGAGCCATTAGCTGAGACCCGAGTAGGTACTGTGGTGGGACTCACATCCAAAGCAAATCCAAACAGGAGAGTTCAGAGAGTTAACAGAAGATCAGACAACAGAATGAGGAAAGAGAACATTTCTTGCACTTGAAAAAGCATGTGCAGCACAAACAGGCACATGTGATGTTCGTGACACAATTGTGGTGAGCAGTAGGCACAATCTAATTGCACTAAGTTCACATTTCCTCCACTCAAGAAAGTCAAGCTCAGCAGTAGCACAGACGGAGATTGACATTTAGCTTGCACTGAGTACAGACACATGTGAACCAGGCATCAACACAGCGACTTTGTCTATCAAAAGATACAAAACAATATCACCATGCACTTGATATGATTTCATAGAGAATGTACAGAATAGATGTTAACATCCTACAGGATGTGTGCAGTTGTCTTAATTTTATTCTCTTCGCAGTTCACCATATAGCTGCAAATATTGATCAGCATGCTTCAGGGACAATATACAGTCGCTTTGCAACAACAGTGTCCATTGTATTTGGTAGCCACATCACCAGAATCACTTTTGCAACAAGAAATGCTAAGTGCCATAGTAGCTCTATCACATTAGCAGCAGAACGGCTCTGCTAATGCTCACGGGAGAAAAACGCAGCCATGCGGAGAGCTAGCTGCCACACACAGAGAGAGAGAGTGTAGGATGGAACAGTGGTGATCTGCAGCCCTTGATCTGCATAGTAAACATTACAATTGCACAGGGCTTTCCAGTGAAGCTATGACACAGCACAGATCCAAGGGCAACCTGCTGGATGAAGCCAGGTGAGGGCTCGAGGCGGTGCGGGGCGGGGCCAGAAGAGCAGCCCAACACTGGATGTGGAACAGATGGTGAGGGTCAGAGCCTGAAGCCAGACAGTTTTGGGGAAGGATCTGGTTACTAAACGGGGGTGTCTTTGGTGTATAGAATCAGCCGAGTGGAGCTAGACTCTCAAAGCTAAAACACATAAATAAGCAGGCTGGGGAGGACATGCCTGTGAGTTGAGGGCTGTGCGGTGTGTAGTGGAGACGTGGTGGGTAAAGCTAAGGCCACTCATGGTGATAACGCCGTCCTTTCTTCTTTCTCTCCTTCTGCAGGTGCTCTAGTTCTGCTTCGTACATCATCTCCTGCATCAGGTACTTCTCCCTCCTCATACGATCACAGAGATCCTTTGGCATGTCCGGAATGAGGTACGCTATGAAGGACTTGATCCCAAACACCAGGTGCTGAGGGAAGCATTAATAATTTAGGAGTTACCTTGCACAGAACTCACACACACTTTAGTTGCCAGTATTTGCTGCATAATTTAATAAGCATGCAAAGGTTAACACTGTGTGCACCACAGTAAAGAACTTTATATGCCCTACAATGTCATAGGTGTATATTAAACCAATTGTCCTCACTGCAGAAATCATTGCAGAAGGCAGGGATTTAGTTTTAGCTTCTTGCCTTGCTGGTTAACACACAAAAAAGAAATGGGGAGTGCTGACAGACCTCAAAGACGATGATGAAGGCCAGCCTGGCAGCCAAGACGTGCCAGAACTGCAGGGTGAATTCGTACGGCACTGAGCTCCAGGGCGGTGCTCTGTAGTCTCTGTACCTGCAGTATCTGGACTGGCTGCTGTTCTTCATCTCGCCCATGTCAAACACAGACAGGCTGCTGTTCATGTAGCCTCGCAAACACCTGAGGGCGAAAGCAGAAGCTATCTCACCACAACACAAGCCACTCTGCCGGATATATTTAAAGCTTACGCATTATATTTTAGCTTACTCATCCTCATGGTGGTGTCCCTTGTCCACACACGGTCCATATTTGAATGCGTAGACAAAGCGGGGGATGTAGTCTGAGGTGATAGCAATGACGAAGGCGTTGGTGATGACTGCCAACACGCCGATACCTTCGAGAATCCCATGCCAGATCCCTGACAGCCAAAGCAGAGGAGAATAAACATTTTCAGTTAGGAAAACTAGTGTTCAGTATGAACCTGCATGCGTTCACCTACAGAGTTCTGCGTGGCTTACAACACTAAACCTTTTATTGGTGAAACATTAAAGTGCATCTATTCTCTATTAACATATTTTTGCATATTAATGCAGAATCTGTAGGCAAGGGACAAGATTTTGGTGTAGGAAGAATTCTGGTGTCTGTATGGGTAAATAATAGTCAGACTACGATCACATTTGAGAGGTGTTTGATGGCATGCAGCTAAACTGCCTCTGTCTCTGCGCGTGGACAGCAAAAGAGGCGGGACACTGCCTAAATACAACCTCAGAACCCATCATCTATCATCTGATGATGATTTAGCTTTTCATCAATATCAGAAACTAGAGATTAGCTTTTATTAAATGTATCTGCATTCGAATCACCGTCAAACAACAGCCTATGGGTTCCGAGGTTCGAACAACCGAGAAGGATAATTCAAGCCTTTACAGGAATTATTCTGTGATGAAGTCTTGTAATTTAGCTTACTTTCCTTCATCATGCTTTATTTACTTCACTTCAGTTTATAATTTATGGGAATGAGTTTCAACAGTCTCCAGAGATGGTGTAAGGACATATTGTTTATCTATACACAAATACACCCATGTAACCAAATAGTTTGTCAACTGTGTTACTAAAATACAACATATCTTTTTGATATATTACAATAAAATCTTTTGAGGCTACTGTACTGTCATTGGAAACAAATCATCTCTCTGCCTTTTCTGCATTAGATTTGTCTGATCGGTAAATGTCAGCTTAAACCCACAAAGAAGCTTTGCTCTTTGATTCTGTGCGACTGAGACATAATGTGTTCATTACAGCTGAAGAATTCTAAATGTTTCAGGGTGGATTCTTCCTTTAATTACAGGGCAACATGCCTCAAAAAGTATTTGGTCATATATTATATGGCAGTTGGAGGGTGGTGTTTGTAGTCATATGGGGAGGTGGGCTGCTGGGAGAGGAAGTGCAGCATATGGCAGTACAGAAGCAGAGGATATGGGAACATATCTATCTCCACAGGTTGGAAAATGTTTGGTTCCTGCAATGTTTTACTGTTGGAAAGACAAGTGGCTTTGATTTAAAAATAAAGCAAACACTGTGTGACAAGGTGTGAGGGCAGTCAGAGATCACACTGACCTATGTCTGTGGCTCGGGCAGGCATGGGTCTCCTCCACTGAGTCACAAACTTGTAGGCGTCAAGACGAATCTCAATGATGTTGTTGAGCAGAGCCAGGAGAGGAGCCAGAGGGAATGCCGCAACAAAGATGGTGGTGAAGCCAAACTGGAGGACTGCAGATGAGAGAACCGTTTGGATGAACATCAGAGGATGTCCGTCTCAAGTCTGGCACAAACAATGTGTCAAAATAGTGTAGTGTTTTACCCATTTCAAGGTATTCATCCACCAGTCCATGGGCATTCATTGGCTGCAAATTCCAGTCTTTGTCCCACTGTGGAAGCTGAGCTTTATTCTCTACATTCTGCCCTCCACCACCTACTTTCTTCATCTTCCTGCGAGACCACCAGTTCTGCAGCAAACTGAAAACATAGCAAGTAGCTAGCTGTCAACTCAAAGCAATTATTTCTGACAATGTACTGAGCACTGCAGGAACCATTTCACTAAGCTCCACAAGAGGATTTGATGTGTTTCTGCCGGAGAAAGGCCTTTCCATATGCTAATGATATAAAGGACAAAAAAACAACAGACGGTTTGTAAAATGCCAATCACTTGGATTTACAGCATAACAGATTTATTACCGCATTTCTAATGGTTCATGGAAAAACAACCACATGATTACAATAACATATTACTTACGGATAACCGAGCTCCATGAAGTTGTTCCAGATTTGTTTGAAGAACATGATGACTCCCATTTGCAGGCACAGATCAATCAAGCAGCCACTTGGGTGACACTGAAAAACACATTTAAATAAAAATAAACTGTGAAATCCATATTTCATGCCGAACAATTCAAAGCCATGAGTGAATCCTGGGACACACTTCAACCCATTCTGTTTTGAGATCATTAAAATTTTAAATCCAAGTAATTATGTGGAAGATTAATGGTTCGCATAGTAATATATAGGCGGATATTAGGAAGATGAATTACTTGAAAACTCTAAATATATCTGAAAACAGAAGGCAATAGTCGGCCCACTTATTGTGATGCCTAATTGCACTCACCTCCTCCAGTCTCCATCGCTTAAAGAGTTTATTGTAATTTCCAGGCCTGCCAGCAAACCTGAACAGATTGAGAAGGGCAACGTTAGCTGCGAAATTCAATCTGAGCAAAGATGATAAACTCTGAGCAGGAAAAAATACACTCAAAGGCGCAAATTATGTCAGATAAACCACAGCTTGGCTGCATTTCTAGTCAAAGCCCTATTTTGTAAATGCTGAAACATGAGGTCTGAAAAATAACTATACAGTGAGAAGGGAATAGGAAGGAGTCTTGGCATATGTCATGATATGGGAGTTTGAAGCAACAGATCTTTGCAAAATCTCTCATTAAATTCACTGTAAACAGGAACTGTAGAGTTCATGGCAGCCAGCCTACCTTCCGAGAAAGAAAGCAATGTAAAATGTAGAGCTGTTCAAATTTACGAACTGGAACAGGAACATCTTCAGAGCAAAGCTGTTCTCCCACTCAGACTCTGTCCGTGGGTGCTCTGAGGGGGAGAAACAGGAGTTGTGGGGTGGACGAGGGAGAAAATGAATGCTTGCAAACCATCTGAGAAGCAAGAGATAATGATATTGTAAATGCATGCGGCATGTTGACAACGCTCACCTAAATTTGTCAGCAGATAGGCCACCTTCTCGTACACCTGACAAGATGATAGTACTTATAAGCATCAACAGGGAAAAGGTTGAGGAGAGCAATTATCATGAGAAAGAGAGGCAAACAGGAATCTCAGCTACAAAAAACAAAAACCCTGAAAAGTCTTTCAGGCTGTGGATCTGACAGTTCCTGGAACAAAGTTCTAAATAAATGTTTCATGAAACATTTGTTGGACAGAATATGTAAACGTGCCAGATGATGGTTGTCCAGACACCCACCAAGTTGAGAGACATGATGATCATAAAGTTGATGCAGACACCAGTGCCAGAGGTGGCAAACTGCCAGTTCTTCTTCACAAAATACCAGTTGAAGGAAGCAAATTTCTCCATCGCAATGAGACGGAAAACCACCACAGCAAACACGGCTGTCAGAACGAGGGAAATCTAAGCAGAGATGACGGAAATAAGGAAGCAGAGAGGAGGGGACGATATATGTGTTTATAAATCTGTGAGAAGCAGGTTGTATCTTATCTTATAATGAACTGTGCAGCATAAAAAGCAAGAGCTATTGATTAAGAAACTCTAACTATTCAGATAAACAAAACACTCATCAGTCAAATGTAATCAGCCACACAGGAGAAATTAGGCCATCAGAAGGCTAAATCCACCATTTCCTCTCAATACAGTTTTCACCCAGCAGGGGGAGATGTTATGCCACTGCTGGCACATCATAATTGCTCCAAAGATGGCACACAAAGTAATGGTGATCTCACTCTGAGCCTGAATCCCCAAAGGGTAGATTATTCAAAGATCAAAGGGTTTACCATGAAGAATATTCCGGACACAGACACCATGAGCCGGCTGAGTTTGTCTGAGAAGGGCTGGAAAGGCTCAGGTTTGCCGGAGATGGGGTTGACTCTCTCCACCCTGGAGTACTTGGCTTCGAATTGAGGCCTCAGCTCCTCCTGATTCACAACACACATTTCAGTATGAACTAATGAACTGCAGGTGTTTCTTCCTAATGAAGCAATAACTCTCCTGTTTTGTATAGACCACAATTGTGAGGTAATAAATTGATTTCGGATCTATTTGAGGATATTGCTGACGTACCTCCTCCTCCTCCCAATCAATGAGATCCCAGTCATAAGTCAGTTCTGCCCTCCTCCTTTTCCAGAACTCCAGGAATACTGTGGCTGCAGAGGGGATCAGGGATGAGTCACACTATTGATCAACTTTGATATCAAACACATGGTATGATTGTTAATCATGTGACTGCAGAGGGTCATTAACTTTGGACAGAACGCAGAACCAAACACCACATCGTGGTCAGATATCCTGAGTGAATCACAGGCTGCAGTGACGTGCATGGCCCATTACTGAAACTGATTACAGCTATCAGTTCATAGATAACCTTTCCTTTCTGTGGTGAAGTTAAGGGAAAGTGGCAACAGCAAAGCTGTAAAGCAAGGCTTATTTGTACAATGTTTCACTGCCAAATCATTGTCTTTGTCAGGCAAGATCCATTCTATGTTGAAAGACTTCAAAAGTACAGCTTTCTGTGGGCAGAATTCAGTCTGGAGGCATAGTTTCCTTTGTGCCCGAGTCCATTATGACTTGAGCTGCACACAACACCAGAAATGATGTTCGTAACATTTTGCTGTGAATACTTTTCATGTATTCTGGTTCATTATGTAACATCAGGAAAAAGGCTTTTTTAAAGGAGGCATGGCACACACACTTCGGAAACACTTTTGTGGTTCAATATAGGTGGAAAGATTAGTCTTAGCATTAGTGCAAAGAAAGGGAAAGATGGGCCTCAGCATCAGTGGAAAAGAGCAGTGCAATTATGTTTGCTCTATGATGGACAGCACACTGTCGCACTATACTTCTGATTCAGCCCTTTTGTCAGTTTTCATTAGACACACATATAATACACGTGTGATTTTTGTATCAGGTCAACGAACATCTAATGAAAATCGCCATGAGGATTTGATCAGTGCTGTGCAGCCTTAATACAGCTCTGATTTGTGCATTATGAATGTTCCATATTTCTGAACATATTACATTTGTTTAGAGCTGCAACAATTAGCCAATTAACAAATTAGTCAATCAACAGAAAAAAATTGTCAACTAATAAGTATAAAATAAATATAAATACTTTTCAAGCAAAACTGCCAATCAATACTCAATTTTAGCAACTCAGATATGAGAATTGGCTGCATTTCCTTGTCGTATTTGATAGAAACTGGAATATTTTTATTATTATAATAATTATATATTATTATAATATATTTTATTCTATCGGTTAGACTTTTAAGGCCATCTCTTTGTACTTTCATTTCAAAGTAAAACAAAAGTATTGAAGATTTACATTTGGGACACACAAAGGAATTGTGGCCTTAAAAAGTACCAGATTGTGAATCCTAAGTCAGAACAACTTTGACTGCTGTTAAAGATGTTGAAGTTTATTATAGCTTGACCCACTTTTGTTTAAAAGGCAGCCTTTTCAGATGCCTACATTCGGTCCCTTGGGCGAACCAATTTTTCATCTCTATCTCGCTCACACACACAGACAGCGGACCTGGAGTGCACTCACTCAGTGGCGCAGTACTGCTACTTTGGTCCACATTGCCAAAAGCCATCACACAGGACTCAGTGCTACAGACCTCCCTTGGCTCTCCAGCTCTCCTTGGCCTTCATTTAGCCCAAACTCAGGACACAATGTTCCACGTGTTCCCTCTGGGCACAGGTGAGTATTTACCACGCTGGGAAATAAGATGGATGTGGGCCAGACGCTGAACAGTAACCCTAATGCTCTACATTACAAAAATATTATAGCTGTGTGAACCATAGCTGCAATATAACATAATCATGGTGCAATTCTGCAACACTGACAGCCGAATGATACCGCCTCCCTCTGGAGAAATGTTTAATAATCTGACTAATTACATCAGGACAGCACTTGAAATGTTAGTGCAGAGATTCAATCAGAGAAACCTGACCATGATTTTTTTCTGTGACAAATGTATTACAGAGAAGAAGCTCCTGTATTTGCACTTAGCGTGTTTACTGTATTGAATTCTCAGTTGAAAAGCTTAATGTGTTTGGAGGAGTTGAGAGGAGAGTGCAAGCATGAGCAATGATACACTATTGTTTAAATAGATTTGAATTCCAGAAGGGTTTGTATCAAGCGAGGAACATAGTTGATGTACAGATGATGTAACAAGTGTTTACAAAATCCAGAAAAGGGACAAAAAACGATCCACCTACCCCAAATAGCCATGAAGATAGCAAAGAACACAGTCCCGCCATTATCAAACAGATGGGTCACCTAGAAACACAAGCACATGAAGGACTGCTCCCAAATAGTGTCTTTACAAATGAAACTGAATTATGACTTTTATCTATTTTCAATTTCAACAGCTTCACTTTTGTTAAATACACGTCAGCACTTTGTGGTGATCAACACCATATTTGAGAGTCTCTCGTCCTTGAGATGTAAAGATTTCTTAAAGGAAAAGTTGACTTTTAGGGAAATTCACTTTTTTGCCTTTTTTATCTTAGCTTTGCATAAAGACTGGAAACAGGGTGAAACAGCTAGCTGTCCAGGCTATTATCACCTCTAAAGTTTACTAATTAACATATCATATCTTATCTGTACAAAAAATAAAGTGTATAAATGATATGTTTGGACAGAGCAAGGCTAGCGGTTTCACCTAATTTTCAGACTTTATGCTAAGCTAAGGTGCTTTCAGACAGATATGAGAGTGTTGTTGATGTTGTTTATTCAACTCAAGTAAGTAAGTAATGAAGTCTATTTCCAAATACGCCTGACCAAACCTTTAAATATTGACCTTTTTTGCTTCTATATATCTTTCTATAAAAACTGAATTACACTGGTTTGAAATTTATTATTATTATTGCACTATAATCCATTTGGAGCTCCATGATCACTGTGATCATGACCTATTCTAGTCCTACTCTAATTCAAATGGCAGCTGTCTACTTTATGGGGTCATGAGAATTTCTGAGCTTACAAATGTTTGCAAAAAGTTTCTAATGAGCTGGAAGAGGTTGAGATGCTGATATGCTGTGACTACAAATGAATATCATCAGGACCACACTGACCTTCGCGTAGACACAACTGTCACTCAGCGTCCACGGCTCACAGGTCTCCTCACACATAGGACACATGATGGTAGTGTTGGCTTCACAAATCTCTTTACTGATGAGACAATGAATCAGGAAACGACAGCAACGATCAAGAATATACATGTTTTAAATTACACATTCTACATTAATATTCAAGGAGTATGTGCACTGTCCTATATGTTATGCGGGCTGTGTGAACTGACCTTACTTGGCTAGAGTCCATCGTGAAGAGACCATAGAGAAAGACAAAAACACCAACCAGGGCGGCAGGGATCAACATGCCAGTGTACCAGCCCAACCACGCAAAATAAAGACCAATTTTCTCACCAAAGTACCGCCTGGGAGAGAGACATAGTGGTCAAATTCAACAATAAACTATGCTGACAGTTAATAAAATCTGGCCATGTTCACTTGCAATAAAGTAGTGGTTAAATTTGGTGCACTGTGAGGTGGTTATGGTAGCCTAAAGGATAGGGAGGCTGCTGGACTGAAAGGTCACACAGTACATTGCTGTGGTAGAAAATTAATCAATAACTGTTTCTTCTTCCTAAACCACAGCTGTCAGGTGCCCTTGAGCAAGACACTAATTGCGCAACTGCTCCAGTAAAGGAGCTCAGTGGCAATTAGTTAAAATCAGGCAACTCCCAAGTGTGTATGCAACGCTGTATTAACAATAAGGAAGGACATGGTTGAGAAAAAAGAGTGTCAACAGACAGTGTACATGCACACTAGTATCCCAGTAATGATTCCTGGTTTTAGGATATACACTAGGTTTATGTAACCAAGAAAAATACATGACAGGCAATATGATAGATAAACAGTTTATGGCTACAATGGTCTATCACAGTATGTATACTGTAATTTTATAAAACAACAATGTGAAATTCAATTGAGAGACTATTTATAGATAAGATCACCACGTGGGAATGTTCGTTTTTAGCTAATCTAGTGAATGAAAGATCTGAAAAATCAAAGTACTTCATCAGAATGACCTTTAAACCTGCAATAACTGATATTTTGGTACTTGGAGGCAGTCGAAACAAGTATGAACAAAATTTTGGCATATCATCATTTATTAAGTAGATCCATAGAACTTAGAACAAATAGTTGCTTATTTACACATCCAGGAGACACAGAGCAACATTATGATTCATTTATTTCACTTTCCTTTTAGCTGTTTTTGGGCTCTACTAACTCCTGAGGGAAATATCTATCTCTTTAGCTGCTAAATGCTCCATTATGTTCTCCAGCTAGTTGCTAACTGTGTCTGTCTGCAGTCTGGTGCTGAACAGATTGTGTACAGTGGGTTTTTGGAGATTTATTTGCTGAAAACAGCTGCCTGCAGCGACTGAAAATGGCTGGGGGCTGGACAGTTAAACAATGAGCCTAAAGTCACTAGCTCTGTAAAGTCAAGGGCAGCTGCAGCTGATTATTCCCACTACGAGCAATCCCTTTCACATTGTCACAATGTTTTCACATTGTCATATAACAGATTGTTATTGTAAAAATATTGATTTTAGCCGCCTCAAATCCAATATTGTCATAAAGAAGATTTGATTATTGATATGTGACATCTTCATTATACAGCTGGAACTGTGAAAACGACAGCTATGAACCTTGGTAAGAACAGAAAAAATCTCTGATAGTTGATAGTTAAATTTATATAATCTCAGGAGGTAATCAGCCTAGCTTAGCATAAAAACTCGAAGCGGGGTTAAACAGCTAGCCTGTTTGTTTAATCTGTACACAAAATTATAGATATATATTATAGAAATATAATTAAAAATGTGCTGTGTCCCTTAGGCGGAGTTAGGTAGCATATTGCCTTGTTTCCATTCTTTATGGAAAGCTAAGCTCATTGTCTCCTGGATCCAGCTCTGTAGTTAACACATGAGAGTCAGTGGTATTGATCTTCTTATCCATCTCTTGGCAAGAAAGTGAATCAGCGCATTTCACAATCTGTCAAACAGTATTCCTTGTCACTCTGTTTACTCTTCCTTTAAATGTGATAAGATGGAACAGAGGTGCTAAAACACAGCAGTGCTAAAGCAACCTGAAACTAAAGTGGGTTCATCCTCCACTGTTAAAGTAACCCTACATCAGTTCAGAAATATCAGACATCCTGGGATGTCAGGGAGTGATAAAAAAGCCTGTTCAGTCTCTTTAGCTGGATATCTTTATAATCATGTACTTTATCAATCACATCCTGAATATCATAAAAGACAGAACGAGGCTCATAACCAGGACCCTAGAGCTCATGTAAATGTCAAAAAACAGGTCATAGTGCTGTGTCATCTACTTCAAATGTGATTAATTACCTAATGAGGTCCAGAGGCTGGTATTTGTACCAGATTCCCCAGCGGGCCCAGCGCTCGTACAGAAGATGCCTATGATTCTGGGCACCGTGCGTCTTAATTGGGTGTCTGCTTTTATAACCACCCTGATGAGACATAGAGTAGGGGAATCTATATTACAGGAGGAAATATGCAGTTTGACAATGTGTGAATCTCTACACATTTCAGCACAAATAAAAATCTTCTGACCTCATGAGGAGGAAATGCTGCCTCATACGTGTTGTTGCCCAATAACCGGTTGATACCTACAGTAAAATAAACCATGCAATGTCAAAGGATACTGATAATACCAGCGAGATGCACAAAGACACAAAATATAGCACCAGATTCATTTAAACCCACTCATCCACAGTCATAATAATTTACTGCATTATGTAACTGACAAGCCGCATTAGACAAGCACATAATAGGCTTAAACACTCTGGTTAGACTTTCAAATAGCTGCAAGCAATTGGAAATAACCTTTTTTGATTTTTGCTGGACTATTAGTAAAAAATTTCTCAATCACAATAACTGACTGAATTGGCTGAAGTTAAATGTTTTCTTTACAGGACAATGGTGCATTTATTTGCAATGTCCTCCCCTGACTAAAACTGTAGATAATAAGAGCAGGAGCAGGGAGGGGTGGATTGGAAAAGGATTTTCCACTCTTGTGGCGGAGCTGATCTTATTTGTTGGAAAGTACAGTGGTCAACAGTATTAAAATATTAATGTGAAATTTGTTCCAGCCCTTCAAGCTAAACTTTAATCAGCACAACATGTCGGCGGCAGTCAGACAAGATAGTAGATGGGGGAGTGGACAGACAGTTTGGTAACTGCCGATTCCAAAAAAACAACAGCCAGAAGGAGAGGAGGGATCAGCCACAAGTTATGATACCAACAGCTCAGCAGCAGCCCACATTTTAATCATCCCACTGCCCTTCTCTCGCTCTCTAATGTCAAATTAAAAGCAAAATATTTCCCTTCTGGTTTTAGTAGTGACATGATAAACACAGTGATAGAAATAAATACAGAATTATTGTTTTATTGAATTTACTGTGTCTTTTGTTACTTTGCCACTGCTTGGCATAAATTATTTAGGGCTGATAAAGTCTAAAACTAAAGTTACAGGTGAATAAACCTAGAAGATTAACAGAAAACATAAACAATATTTAGTATTTATTATATATCTAATATTTAATATGTAGACTCTGTCCCCTTCTCAGTAATAAATTGTCCTAAGTAGGTCATTATGATGGATCCGTGTATCATTCCATATAAATGAGCATGGGATTCCCCTGCCACTGATGTTACACTGCTAGAAATATTGTTTAGTATGTGAGGAGGAAGAAGAGAAAGAAGAGAGTGCGGTGCCTCACCCATCTTTGGTTTTCCATCCTCATACTTCGTGCGCTGCAGGACATGATGGACTATTCGGCTTCTGGTGGAATTGGAAAAGAAGGTCTCTCTATTGTTGATAGTGAAGCTGGGAGGAAAATAACAGCACACTCCTTCAGCTATTCATCATTTAACAGTATCAACGTCATCCAGTCACAGCCCTTAATGAGAGCTGAGCCAATAACGATAACGAAATGTTCATTAAAACTCAATTTGGGATGTAAAGTTTGTGTTGATTCCAGCATTATTATTTCTAAAAAATATGTCAAGGCTGACGAGCGAAAGGATAAGTGGAAATGATTCAATGACAAATGAGATTGGATGATGACTTTCAGTAAAAGATGCTTGGAAAATGGTAAAACTGGAAGGAACGGGGAAGAAATCTAATCATTTCATGGACATCTGCTGCTGTCTTTCGATATCTTATTTATGATCAACTTGTCTTTATCATTCTAAGTTATGGCTCAAAGCTATAAAATATCCAAGACCTCATCGTGCAAATTTCATCAGCTGGTTTCTAAATTCCATTTCGCGAGCACAGAAAATACATGGATGTAAGGGAGAGGAGCAAAATTAGGGATAGAGAGTAGGAGAAATATCAGATAACACTACTGACACTGCCTTTACATGGCACGCCTAATCACGATCATGTGCATGACTGTGTGTATGTCCTGCTTACTGATGCATGCGTGCTCTGCTGAAGGGGGCTGTGTAGCAGTCAGTTTCCTCCAGGTCAGGCAAGGCCTCTTTGTCTAGCTTCATTGGATTTCTTGGAAGCCAGCTTTTTATCTGACGACATCTTAGATGAAACCTGCTGCATGGACGCAAAGAGAAACAGGATCAATGGCACAGATTAACATGAAGATGATTTTCTTTAAAATGGAATAGTGGCTCAAAACCTTTTTGCGCTAACACAACCCTGACAAGCTCGCACCACCTCACACCCACTAAAAACACATTTCCACACACATGCATGCACACACTGCAGGCATCACCCTGCAGAGTCATTTTTAATTTTCACATTGCTCATGACTCAGGAGCCTGCGACCCTCACTGACCCAGGATAATATGGAAGATTTTATTGGACTTTAATATTTGTAACCACAGAAAACAATGCACAAATGTGTACTATGATGAGCAAATATTTCACTATCTACAAATATGTATATTTACATTTGTGATGTGTGAAATCCTATCTACAAAAATACAGAGTGACTTCTACACACAAAACAGTTTTTGCACATTTGCAGATTGCTTTCTGCCAATTTGTGGGTCATGTTACATTTGTAACTTCCTTTTTACACATTTGTGGAATTTAGTCCAATATTTACTGCAGAGATCTGTAAAAAATATATACACAAATATCTTACTACCCAAAACATGTATTTTTACATTTGTGTTGTGTAATATCATATCCACAAAAATACAGTGCAATTTAAGAGATTACAAAATGTTGATACAATTCATCCTGCAAGGGACATGAATGTGTGCACCAAATTTCATGACAAGCCATCCAATAGTTCCAGCATCAACCTCATGGTGGCGCAAGAGAAAAAAATCAGGGGATCACCAATGTCATTACAACCTGAAAGTCTGAGAATCATCAATGTCTGTGCAAAATGTTGATTTTGAGATATTTCAAAGTATAATTAAAATCTCTGACGTTTACTAGTGGCACTAGATTAAATGTACGGGCATCACCAACATCATTAGGGCACAAAGTTTCATGGCACTCCATCTAATAGTTGTGGAGGTGTTACAGTCAGGACCAAACTAGTGGGCCAATCAACATACTGACATCGACATCCCTAGAGCCACGCTGCTAGCCTATTTAAATATCTGTTGGCTGGGTAATATTTACCCACTGCTTCTCCATATTTGCTGGATAGGTCTTTGTGTAATTTGTAAAGCTCTGCTATGATATGAATCGAGTTAATATAAATGGGAATTCTAGGGGAAAACATACTGTTGCCAGAGAGCATTTAATGAATGTTGTTGTGAGGAGGACAGAAAGCAATGTTATCAAACCAGCAACCTGTCGCCACCTGAACACGGCCCATTTGTTCAGCATTACAGGGACGTGACTTAGTGACAGACCATTAGTAAACACATAAAGCCTATTTACTACTCGGGAAGATTTTTCTTTTTAGAGCAAACGCTTAGTGAAAGACTGCAGGAGCTCTGAGGAAAACATAATGGTCCTCACTGTTCACAATGACTAAGCTCACTCTCACATAACATTTAAAAGTGCTTTGTTCTCAGTTGGACAGGTGGGCGAGTGATTCTTGTCTGTGTGATTTTTGTCTGCGCTGTGTGTGTCTTTCAAGCATGACAATGTAAAACTATACATGGTATGTATCATGTACATGGTATGTAAAAGGTAACATTTTATTAATATCATTATTCAATATTATCCATATTGTCAACTCCTTTAACATCTGCTATTGACTTCAGTATGTTTATCCATAATGTACTTGTGATAAACAGTTTATTGATACAGTATATCAATCTGCAAGGTGAAGTGTCATAAAACACTAAAACAGGCACATTTACTGCTGTTAGTTTGTCAGGTCGCACCTATCCTGGCAAACAATATCAATAATACGCTCTGTTCATCCCAGTGTATTGAAGAAATTAGTCACACCTTGTTTGCAGTTAAATGGATAAATGAAAGCGCTTTTCACGACCAGTAATCTCACACTCAACTAACTGTTACTGCTTATTTAAAGCTTCACAAGGGCTCATTCAAAGCTCATACAGAAATGTCTGCCATCATTGCAATGTCATTTCAGTTATCTCTTATCACTGTAGTGAACAACAACACTGGGGAAGGTATGAACTTCAGGTTTAAAGCCTGAAGGTTCATAAAAAACATTATTGGGTGTTTTTATAAAAACAATTAACAGTGAGAAATGCAGCTAATCTGCTTGATCTGTGGAAGTGTGATTTGATCAGATTTGATTGACAGTGGACTACTGGCATAAACAAACAAACAACTGTCATCAGATCATTCCCTATAATAGTTCAACAGTATGGTTTTTAGGGTTTTTAAAGCAAAAGGAAGGGATTGTTAATTAAAAGATGTTACTATACATTTTCGGAAATTGCTGGACTGTCTTTATCTGCATTACAGTGAGATGAAGAGATGGAAATTTGGAGTCCCGTGCAGAGCTTGACAAACACTTCAATCACATCAAAGTGCAAGTGCATCTCTCTAAAAATAGTATGCAAATGAGCCTGTGCAGCTCCATATATTTGACTGAAAGATTATAAGTATTTTAGAGAAAAGCACTGTCAAAGTGGGCGAGTTACAGCATTGTACTCTTAACAATGTGCGTGCAATGATGTGCAGGATGCTGTGCTTTTTGAAAAGGTTGGAAAGTTGAATAAATCACATTCAAGCAAACATAACAAATGTATTTGTAAGTCCTGGCAAAATCAACTGCACTTAATCACATTTTTAATGACTTGGTGATTTTCCCATTTATAAATCTAATCCCGGACTTGGTAAACACTGTATATTTACTCACAGTCTGTATAAAAGGTTCATTAATCCTGGACTAATTAATGCTAACTCAGTGGTTGGGTTTCTCTGTTTGTGTTCCTCCTTGAGGTGATAACTTCTTCAGTCTTAGAACACCATACAAAGCTCACATTACGGATGAAGCCTCGCAACTGTGCCGCTCATGAATTTCATTCAATCTACTTACCTGCCCAATGTTTTGCTCTTCCAGTCTGTGAAGTAACATTTTTTCCTTAATGAAGAAGAAAAAGACAAGTTAGAGGGACTCTGTTTCATTTGCCTGCCACTAAGAAAGCCTATTCTCACACTTTCCAGAGTTAATGGTTCAATCTTTTTCCCAAACTATGGTTACCTGAAAGGCATTCGGATGTTCATCTGCTCTGCATATTTGCAAAGCGTATCCCAAGGAGCATGGACCTTCACAAACATGATGTCGTTGTTCGTCAAAGAGGGCTTTCAAATGAAAAAAGAAAAACAGGAGTTTGAGAAATATGTTGAGAAACCAACTAATGAATAGTCTTCTAAAACCAGACCAGAAAGTTTTTTACCTCCTTCTCCAACATTAGACCCTCAGCCCGTAAATTCTTCTCAAAGGTGCACCTCTTTTCCACCTGTGGACTGGACTTCTTGTAAACCAGGATGTAGTCAATACGCTTTTTCCCATCTCGGAAAAACAGCCCAGAGGAACCAGCTGGATTCTTTCCCTGTAGCAACAATGTTTCACCTCTGGATTTTAGATGCATTGATGCACAGGACTGCTAAGGATTAAATTTTGAGTGGTTCAGTGTAATATTGTAAACAATAACTGTGGATTACTGGGTGCGTGCGTGGTACCTGAAGTGAATCTGTTCGGGCTTCTAATTTAGCACGGGTGACAGGCTTTTGTAGCAGAAATGACTCGTCTGCCTTAGTTTCACACGTAGTCGCCTCTGACTCCTCCACGTAGTGATCCTTGCCATCTTCTGTTGCACATGGACACAATCAATGAGACAGTTATTGGAATGGTAACGAGCCACACAAAGTATCCAATCTGCATTAAGTCTTTTGTTGTTGCTCAAGTCAATATTTTCCTTAATCCAACTTTCAACATTGAAATTATATCTGAGCTAAATAAAAATCCATGTTATTCACATAGGTTAGCCTTAGAGTAACACTTGATGTAATTCAAGAGATCCATCCATGATGTTGAAAGAGGGCCAATCGTGTTTCCTTGCTTCTTTACACATCCTACTGCACAAACAAAATTAAATTTTGTTAAACCCACTGAGGCAAGACAAACAATCCAGCTTGTACGAAGAATTCATTTTCTAATTGCTCTTGTAGCTCAATGTTTTGAAACTTCAGCACAAACAAGAAGAAGTCTGCCTAATTAATGAACAACAACTCTTTTTCAACACAACACATGGAAGCTTTTCCATTTCCAATGGTAATTATTGCTTTTATGAGGGGGGAAGTAGATTTACTGGTTATAACAATCCATCTATCAGGCTAAAACAAGACATTTTGTGTGGCTTATCATAATGCAGTCTAAATCTCATAATACAATTTATGACTTCTCCAATACAAGTGTGATAGCTTGGCTCATTTCTCCAGTCTGTATCTATTTCACCACCAGATCAGTTTGGTGTGACCACAGTCAGAATTTTTTTATACTGCTGTGCTGTAACCAAGTGTAAGAAATCTAAATTATTAACAACGTCATTGACTAACATTTTTTATTATTACAAATATACTGCATATAGAGTGACATTTTATAAAGGACAAAAATTGTTTAATATAAATCACCGGAGCTTTAAGACATCAAGACTTAATAGCTAACTGAAGTTAGAGTCTCTAGACAACAATTTGTATTAGTGTGTGTTAGCACATTATTGGGCCACAGAGATAATGTAAAGTTTTAATGCAAAATCACAAGCTGTGACAGTTTTTTTTTCTTCTTGCTTTGTGTAGCTTTATTCTAATGAGCATCCTCCCTGATGCAGGCTGGTACTGTAGAGAAAGCTGTCCTGTGTTCTATTTTAAGATCACAACTGAGAAGTGTGATAATCTTTAGAATAACTATACCTCTACAGAATAGGGAAAAATATCCATTGTCACTTTCTATAGATTTAATTAGATTAATGAAGTGGAAGAAGATATCATTTACCCACCACAAACAAACCAAAACATCAGAATGAATAACGTAAAAAAAAAAATTCACTCAATATATACAAATACTATCAGAAGTGCACAAGTGTAGTCCAGAAATTGTGGGGAATTGGTTGCTGTGTCTTTTTTTACAGACAACAATGTGAATCGTCTTCACATTGTGAAAGCCAGTATACTCCATTTGGAATTTGAGATAAAAATGTCAGCTGTGCTGAAAAATGACTCAGAACTTTGGGCAACATGGGGTGCTGTAAAGAATCCAAAAGCAGCCTGAATTTACGCTGCTGGATCAAAATGTGTTTTCACACAGCAAGGAGTCATGCCATGTGAATGTACTGAAACGTTCCATTTTAAGGTGCTGAATTACTGATCAGCTTTTGGTACGTATGAGCTGTCATTGTTTAAATTAACCCCATGTTTTCTGTGCATAATTCACATAATAACAGTTATGTGCAGTTGTAGACTGTTGTAAAGCTACAGTGAAATTAGTACAATAAGAGTCAAACTAAACATGTGTCACATTCTCCAGCAGCAGTGCACCCAGCCTAGACTCATTTAAACACATCTGTTAGTGCACCCTCCTCAGGGCAAAAGAAAACAGACCTCTTCCTCAGATGTCTATTTTCAGCTCAAAGAGCCAGTTTTCCCTAAAATAGCAACACCTTACCTTGTGCTGCCTCATCTGCATGAAACTGCATCTCGCATCTCTCATGCTTGCACACTGCTCTCAGCAGCCAAATACCAAAGGGTCGGCAAATTTGTTGTGGTATTGCTTGTGCTAGTCCTTATGCTGTGACAAGAATAGAGCCCTTGCTGTCAGTGGCCTCTGAATATTCTTGAAGATATTAATAAGACTGAATAATTTTCCCTCTCCAACAGCCATTTCCATTCTACCAGGCCATACAGAGATGCATTGTTTTCCTTGCAATGGCATTTTCCCACACAATCTCTTGCCTCTGAAAGTACACCGGACACGTGTGTGTTTTCTGAATCTCCTGTAGCATTAATATAATCTGCTCATTCAATATTATGGACACATCTTAAATATCACCAACATTATGAAAACTCTGTTCCTGTTGTGCATAACATCAGTACAGTCAGTGCGGTGTTGAGAGACTAATTACACACACCATACAGACAATAATGGTCACCAGTAACAATAAATGTTAATGGTACTAGAATAACACCTTTGACACAGAATTTGCTATAAGTACTTCACTTCCAAGTAAAAATTCTGTTTCATAAAGTCTTTGATACTTTGACAAACCACCACATTAATCCACAGGGTAAATGTATCAACATATATATATATATACACACACACACACACACACAGTATATATATATATATATGTACAGTATCTCACAAAAGCCCGCGACCCGATCCCGGATGAAGATGGATGGATGGATGGATCTCACAAAAGTGAGTACACCCCTCACATTTTTGTAAATATTTGATTATATCTTTTCATGTGACAAGACTGACGAAATGACACTTTGCTACAATGTAAAGTACTACAGCTTGTACATCCATCCATCCGCTTATCCTGCATACAGGGTCGCGGGGGGCTGGAGCCAATCCCAGTTTACATCGGGCGAAAGGTTTGAACCCATGACCTTCTTGCGGTGAGGCGACAGCGCTAACCACTGCACCAGCCCACCGCCCACAGCTTGTATAACAATATCAAATTAAAACATCACACAGCCATTGTCTAAACCGCTGGCAGCAAAAGTGAGTATACCCCTAAGTGAAAATGTCCAAACAGGGCCCAATTAGCCCTTTTCCTTCCCCGGTGTCATGTGACTCGTTGGTGTTACATGGTCTCACTTTTGTGAGATACTGTATATCAGTGATGCAAACTGATGCAGCCACTCTCTCATGACTGAAGCATCTTATCCACTAATGGGTTTAGGAAAATATTAGTAAGTCCCTCTCAGCGGACTGACCTGTCTGAGGGGGGAGGAGGCTGCAGGAGGTGCTGATGCTTTGACTCAGAACCTCAACTTCTGGTTTGGGCTCCGGGCTCAGCGGCACAGACAGGAAGTGGTTGAGGTTGATTGGATGAGTCTGACTCTGGGCCAGGCAGGGCAGGCTGCGGCGAGATGGCTTCAGGCTCTTCTCCTTCAGGATCTCGCTGATGCTGGTGTGCATGCCTGAGGACGAGAGGACAGAGGAAGAGTGGAGGTCATTTCACTAGTCACTTAAAACTTGTTTAAACACAGAAAGAAAAGAAAGCACAATAAAGCTATAGATAGATTAGGCTCTGCTCTTTGATAAAGCTATACTGGGAGAATTAATTTCCCCTTACTAAATACGTACATGATATTAAATCTTACTGAAGTCAACAATATAAAAAACGTATTACATAAGGACAAGGTTGGGGGTGGTGGGCATGACCTACGGTAGCAAATAGCATTACCATGAAGGTATCAGCAGAGTAGTCAAGGAGAAGTTTAGGATAGTTATGGCTGGCATGTATCAGATGGTAGCCAAACAACTAATGAATGAGCCAGTGACATAGATGCATGACACGGGCACTCCACTCCACAAGGTCAGTTAACCGGTAAAGGAAAGTACTACTCTAAGTGTAAGAAAAGTCTCAGCTTAGACTACAAATTTAGAACAGAAAACACACAAACAAACTGAGGCCTGGGAGTGAGAACGATTACATTAGATTAGCCTTTATTGTGTCTCTTAAGAGAAATTTGACATTTATCAGGCCGGGAGGATTTCACTAAAGACCTCTGAATTTGGCTCATGGGAGTCCGCCGACTTTATGAAAGTGAAATACTAAAATCACTGAAATACCAGTTGGAATGAGCAGCTAATACCAATACCACAATGAAAGACTCCATTCACTAATATTTATGTATATAGTTACATTATAGTTTGCATGTTCAGTAATGCATACTCAGGCAGTAACTTAAGACTGTTAGTAACATGCTCAAGAAAGAACTCCATACTGTAACCCATAACTGCTAGAAAACCATTTCATAAATGTCTAATAACAAAAAAAACTAAATTCAGCAAGAAGAAAGACAAATAAAATCTCCAATAATCTGTTTACAATGCTTAGCAGATCTAGTACATGAACTCTAAGAACGAGAGAGAGAAATCATCAACTGGTCCATCATTTTATGAGCTACAGTGATGGTGATAATGTCCGTCCTTTATAGGGGAGCACATTAAACCATTAGTGCTCCCCCTCCATCAAATCACACAACAGCATGATGATGCACTACGCTTGAAAGTGCTGCAACCAAATTTAACAAAGATACATGGAATAACAGAATCCATTGTTTTATTAATACCAGCAGAGGTCATTTTAAAGGTTATTTCAGCGATAAAAAGCAATAAGGTGATAGTGGGTCCGACTCATAGGTTAATAACAATAAAGAATGCACAGGAATGGAAACAGGTCATTGTGCCCGACCTTCACACCAGGCAGCAGCTTCAGCTCTGCAGCTCCTGACATATTTATTCATGAAACGAAGGTGTTTGCTGTCAAATGGGAGCGTGACTTACTGTCACCTGCAGTGAGGAATTCTCTCAGTGACCTTCCTGAAACGTTCAGCTGCACTGATAATTCCCTCTCTGCATTCTGAGGGTCTGCGATGTAAACTGCGCAATAACTCATTCTCACTGCATTCTCACTCAATGGGATTTCCCTGTGCTGTTGGGTGAGAATGGAGACAGTTAAATATGTGAGCTTGAAGGCCCAGGGGAACCACTAATCGCACTGTTTATTTCCTGTGCAGCCCCACAGATATGAAATGAATGAAAGTTGTGAACTCCATCCAAAAGCAATACAATGAATAACTGAGAAAGTGAAACGTATAAATGTTCATATGCTAAGACAGATTTTTTTAAAAATAGTTTTAAATGAAAGTCTTTTAAATTTAAACTTATGATTGCTCAGCACAAAATCCGACATTAAACTTACATCTACGTATTTGTTTATGTCAGAAAGGTAATCTGTCTTCAGGCTAACAACAACTTGATTGCTTGATTTCCCAGTACTTTAATTATTTCCACAGTGTACACATGCATTCAGTTCCTCTTCATTGCATTTAATATTTCAGTCAATTCCATTAAATCCGATCTTTCAAACCAATAGTGAGTTGTAGGTTTTTAAGCTAAGAGTCATATTGTGCCAATTACATCTGCAAGCACATTCCACAAACAAGAGATTTTATGGTCCAGTGAGCAAGAGGGTTTGTATCTCTCAGCAACAAATGCAGCAACAACATGCTTTACGACTGGCTGGTAAATTAGAGCGAGCTGTGAGCTTCCACTCAAGAGGGCAAAAAGCCTAGAGTGCCATAATTTCACAGTCTCTGTGGATTGGAGATGGGAGACTTAACACTGGATACGTTCTTCAATCAACATGCCCTCTTTCTCTTCATTATACTGATGGATTTATAAAAAATTTCTGCTATGTAGTAATACTGTCAAAAAGGTAAATTTACTGGACTCTAGGCCATAGTCCCAACACACATTGGCAAGGCTCATGGACAAAGCTCGGTAGTCCCAAAGGATTCAGTGTTTATAGTAGACCCAAATTGGACAGGGTTGCTTTCATGGACATTTCAGAGCGTGTGCAGATGAAAAAATGTCACTTTGTCAAATCTCTCAGACTGCGGATATTAAGGATATAATAAGGGTTATCTCATGATCACTGCCCTGTTCCAAAGCTTTAGCTTCATTTTCACATGCAGGCAGACTCTGAACTCTGTCCCACAGTCAGAGCAGTTGTGCAGAAGACTGCATTGTGCAAGTCTATATAAATATATAAATGGTTGATCTAATGTGAAATCCTGTGTTTAATCTTGCTGTGCACTGGCTAAAACTATTTATCAGGAGAAAATTAATCCTGTGTGTGGATGTGCGAGTGCGTGCCAGTTGGTATGGGAGTCTGTGTGGCTGTAACTGAGTCCTGCTCAGGGAGGAGGGATGCAGGAGTGACAAATAAAAAAGAAACAGATCAAGAGGTGCAGGGAGTGGACGCTCACTGTGAGGTGATGCGGGGAAAAAACACCTCCAAATTGTCTCTGAATAAGCATGATACAGGGCTTTGACGACAGTCCTGTGAGTGCTCTCACAAACACCCGCTCACTCAAGGCTCAGCTGAGGGGGAGCTTCAATGAAGGTCGTGATCGGGATTTGGATCTCTCCTGCGCAGCTTGCCCATGACAGTCTTGTGATGCGAGATTAACAGGTTTTTGTTTCGATTCTGTGCACGTGTGCATGATATTATACATGTACCATTGTGACTGTACACTGTGTGTAGCGTACATGTCTACCAATTTTTTTTTCTGTTGACAAACATAAAAATCTAAAACTTGGCAGTGTCACAGCACTATTCCTCTACGTATCTGTTTGCGACTGTCACCAATCTACTCTGGGCCAGCTGGAAGAGCAAACAATTCATTTAAAAAATGTCAATGATTTTATGATCAAGCGGTCACATATCAAAGGCAGTAAAACAAGCTGTGACAATTTTTGTAAAAATAAACTTTTGCTTTCAGTCACGTTGGTCCACGATCACTGAGAGACCTGAGCAGAAACTAAAGCATTTAGACATTATCTGCAAGGCTTTTACACAGCAGCAAACAGCAACAACAATTCAGGTCAGTGGGCTGTTTCCCACCACATCTCTATATATTCAAGTTCTATACCTTCAATTATTCATCCATCTTCGGCTCATAGCACTTTCAGTGTTACAACTTTCAACTGAGGAACACTGTGCATCAGGAACTTTTTAAAAGCAACACACATCATTATTGCTTTCCCCTTACAGAGCACATTTCAGCGATCCCTGCTATAAAACAGTGGGCAAACACGAAAAAATAACACACACACTCAAGCTTAGAGAAGCAGGTCCAACACACTGCTGCGGTGCATTTCTAAACATGATCACGTGGAAGCAGCCTCTCCTACAGAAACATTATCTGAGTAATTAGTGCGTTTCATCCTGGCACAGTATCAAAGAACACGTAGACAGAGCTGAGTTCACAGGGAGTATTTAGAACAGTGTCATTAGCTCAGCTTATATCTTATGTTGCACTGTTAATACTCGAGGCACACCAATAATCCTGGCTGGCCAAGCACAGTGTGAATAGCAAATGATGAGGGATCTCTGGTGTGGATCGCATGATTTCTTCATGACATACTGAATTTTTTGGAATTTTCACTTTAATCCATGCAAGAAATGTGAAAATAAATCACAACAAGTTAAAATATGTTCCTGGTACCATGTGGTGGGGCATTAAAAAGTAAACAGCATAGTAATTTTAAAATCTTCAGGATTCTCTGTGTTTCAGTACGTAATAATAAATTTGTGTTCTTCCACGTGATTTACCACAGCAATAATTTATCCACTCAAATACAAATAAGTAATACCAGCTTGGTCATTCATTAATTTAATAATGGTAAATTATGGTTAACTATTCAAAATGTATATACTGAAATTATATTACTGCCTTAGCTAAAAAAGCTATTGACTTCAGTGACTATGACATACAATAGAATATTGTAGATAATTAATGCAGTTAATATCACAAACGGCTTATTGACTTGACCTGAAACTAATATATGTGTGATTAAAACATGGTGCATCTAATTACACCAGCTGATCATTTTTAACCCCCAGTGATGAAAAACACATCACCATTTTATGCAGTGTCTATAAACCGCTGACCTCTTTATGTTTTATTTTTCACCACATTGTGAATCGCGGTGGATGTCATTATGCTTTTTGGAGAATAAAAAAAAGTAAAAACAGTCTGAAATAGCTATTAACTTGCTTCACAGACAATGTCTGCAGTTGTCGTCTGTTTTTCACGTGCAGTCCAGCCTGGCAGCTTGACCCTGAACACACCACTGAGCAGATGGCACTTTTTACCCACGGTTTAAACAGTTCAGGACCTCATTATACAGTCCTGGCACAACCTCTGGGTTGCATCATTTGAGCAGATTAAACATCTTCCTTCTCTCTTAATCTGTATTTTTACCCGCTCCTTTAGCGTCACACTATCTTCTTATGCCCGATTGCTTGTGATTTGTACTACGTCACAGGATTTTCTGCAAAGCCTCTGTTGTATCCATGTGTACACGTTTCATCAGGGAATGCATATCAACTACTCTGTCTTCAGTAAACATTATCAAGAAGAACATACACAACATTTCCCAAATCAGTGTGTTTTGCAGACGTTATTAAACTGTGCAAAGCATAACTTCTGCATAACTTCTGCCACTATTGTTCTTATAACCTAGCAACAAAACAACCACTGACTATTTAAAGACTGTGAAAGTGTTAAAGCTGGTAACTGCCAGACGATAAACACACACACACAGAACAAAACAGCCTCTTTGTTTTGTGGTACAATTAGATAAAAGGCATTTTTACACAAAATGGATCAACTCATCTTACATAAAACTGATGTTGGCCTAATATTTTACAGTAGCCTGTTAAAATCGCAGATGAAATATGAGTATATATGTGCTCTCCCCAAATCTGTCCTGAAAATATTGTCTGGAAAACCATCTGCCTGCTTGCATAAGAGGACAGGTGGCCTGCTTAGTACTGTGCTACCAAAGGTTTGCACACATGAGCACACACACACTCTCAACACACATTTACTGTATATGAGCACATGTCTACAAAGTTAAAAAAGCATAGTCTAACAGGACAGGGGACAGGACTCTCTGCCACTGAACCCTCCCACCGACCAAAAAACACACACATACGTTTCTTAAAAATAAAAAAGACTAATCCATAAACTATTTTCATGAGGAAAATTAGCAGGATATTGACTGATATAACCTTGATTCTTAAGAAACTTTAGGAGAAGTTGGATTAGTGGTGTAAAAGTGCATGATAATAAATTTAAAAAAGTATAATATAGGGCTGCAACTAACCATTATTTTCATTATTGATTAATCTACTACTTATTTTCTCAATAAATCAGTTCATCATTTAGTCTATAAAACACCAGAAAACTGTGAAAAATGCCCATCACTATCCTACAGCACAAGGTGACATCATTAAATGTTTTGTCCAAACAACAGTTCAAACCTTCAATTCGCCGTCATGCAAAACCAAGAAAGGCAGCAAACGCTCACATTTGAGAACCTGAACACATCAAATGTTTGGCATTTTTGTTTGAAAACTGACTTAAATTATTAATAACAAAGTAATTAATCAACAAGTCATTGCAACTCTATAATAATACATGTAGAAACATGAACAAAGCTTTAATTAACACTTAAGTATTTGATTGTAGAACAAGGTACCTACCTATTTTGATGTGCTTAAAGGAAATATTGTGTTAAGTGTGTAAATAAGTTTCAACAACTTTCATCAACATGCTGCCAAAAAAGAGTTAATGATTAGTGTGCCAAAAGACATTTGAAATTCAATCAAATCCTGGGAAGTAATATCAGATGGTTGTGAGTCATTTTTGCCTTGAAGTCCTAATGTATTTTTTTTTAGTTGTTACCAACTGAGTTATGTGTTTTATTAAGGCAAGAAAAAAAAATCCATCTTCATCTTATGTTTATCCATAATGAATCTCTTTTTCTAATTCTCAGTCCTGTTTTCAATCAAAAATGTTTTCTTACCTTCAGCTCAGCAGCTTTTAGGGAAACTGGAGAGATTTAATTCCTGTATAAACTACCTGATATTGGCATCCAGTTGTTATTTTTATAATTTTCAGATTTGACTACCTAGCAGTAACGTCTTAGTTAACAAAGCTTTTCACCTCCTGTGTACAGAAACACAAAGTTCCATTCGCTTTCAAATAGTGAACAAGCATTTTAATGCTCTCACAGGGTGTTGTTGATTGTGTCTGAGGAAGTGCAAGATAATTTCTGAATTTTGCTTCAGCAGGACTTTGTGAGACAACATTCACCCCTTTTGACTTCAGTTTAATGGTGCACTTAGCAGTCACTGAAATAATGAGTGGGCTCCCAAGTCTATAGTCAGATTTTTCCATAAATCTGATATCATGTTGTTCTACAGATTTCCTGTAGGCTGGACTGAAGCCAGGAAGTGGTTCAATCTGTTTTATATAAGAGAAAAATAATTGCTGCATTGAACACGATTCATATGAAACATAAAAATAAATAAAAAGTACAAACAAACCCATTATGGAATCATGTGGTGCAGTCCATACTGTGCATGTAGGTCATGGTAGACCTGAAAAAATAAAACACTGCTTTCCTCTCTTATTTTTTGTTCAACACTTTGCAGGGGTTTTTTTTCACACTTAAAACCAGCGAAGACAAATGAGCTACAGCAGGTAAGCTTACACCCTCTTCAGCAGGGCATCCCTAAGTGATGAGATGTCTACCTGCTCAGCTCAGCGTGTCATCAGAAACCTATAGACCCTTTCATCCTCCTCAGCCAGGTATAGAAAGAAAAATAGCACATTGCTCCCTGTTCATGAGCCTGTGTCAGCATGAAAACAAGATGTTTCTTCACCATACTTCTAAATTTAGACAGCCAGTGCATTAATAATTAACACAAAATATTAAAGAATCACCAATGTTCTCTAAAGAGCCCTACTTTCGGTCTAAATCAATACTGGTGCAGTAGAGTAATCTAACTGGAATGTAATGGACACAAATTGAAGACGCCATAGATGTTTTTACATCCAGATTTGACAAAATTTGCTCTAATGTGTGGAGACCAACTATCTTTCCCTCACTTTACAGTTTGTTACATGATCTGTGTCTAAGTTATTGCCAGTCCACAACACAAACATACCAAATGGACACCAACGTCAAATAGAGTCTCATGTCTCATATTGCGTTTTCAATAACTTGCTGAGTAAAGAGGGTTTTTTTACTGTTAAAACCTCACACACAAGCTATTTCACCTTTAGCACAAACTATTCACTGTTCTCCTAGTATAGCCTACACTACTGTGAGTTCAAACATCACCCTTTCAAAGATCTGCATTGCTTGTCTTGTGAAGAAAGGTCATGTCTTTCTCTGTGCAGCATTACCTGCATCCATCAACAAACATGGTTTACTTTAAATAGCTTGTGATGTTTCTAAATTTGAACAGTTCCTGATGAATTTAGTCATATTTAAGGTGTTCCTTAGAAATAGGCCTATCTGCTTTAAGTGGATCTATGTAGCCTACCGCTTAACAATAATGACTTAGGCAATAGAGTTAGTGCAACAACTAGTGAATAAAATATCAAAGCGCACAAGGCTCAGAAACAGGATTCATCCCAGGAGGAGGACGCTACAAGACCTCCAACTCTGCGTCACACTTACAGCAAGTACAGTCGCATGCCTCTGTGAGTATCATTTAACATCACAAACTGTTTAACTAGAGAAGAAAAGTCGCCACCCATCACGCTCAGCTCAAAAATAAACCATCACCGGGCGCGAAACGATCACGTTATATCGACCAACCTTTCTGCTGCTTGAAGGACTGGATTGAACCCGAGTGGTGCACCATTGCGACGTTCAGTTGGTTCCCAGCGTTAATTGAATTCCGTATTTGAAAAAGCAAAATTGCAGAATACATATGAAACTATGGTGAGGTTGCGTAGGTGTTCTCGCAGCTCCCATCCTGCCAAACAATCTCACGGGCGATGCGCAAACCCCAGCAACACCTGTCTAAGCTCCGCATGCTCCCCCCTCCCGTCCCCTACCACCACCATCCACGGCTGTTGTCATGGTGACGGACGGTAGGGGAGGTCCTGAGACGCCCCCCCTCCCCTCACCCCGTCCGTCCTGATTTACTGACACCAAAATAAGATGCGGGAAATTACCAGGGGCAGAAGATCTTAAATGGACCGACAAGGACATGGACTGATTCGCTCGTCAATCATCATCTGTTACCTGCGCTGAAAGCTTGCACCATAGGGTAAGGCATCACATAGTCTGATGGACTATTAGGGAAAATACAGTCTGGGTACTAACTAAAATGCATTCAGTGTTGGTTCAAAACATTTAGCTTCATTTAAATTGATGTAATATGGATTTTTATTTTTGAAGTCCACATAATTTAACATTTAAGCCACTGTAAATCCATCAGGCAATTCTGCTGTCTTGCAGTAAACTCTGAACCCTCACCAATTAAAAATCATTGAAAAGTCATTCTAAATCATTCACATGCACAAGGGCCATCAGATTTTCTAAACCTGGCTGACATATGTAATCTTCAACATAAAACACAGAGGACAATATCCAGTGCTGTTGACAGAAGCCATCAGTGTGTTGGCTGACTGCCATATTCAGGCTTAACTGTAACTTTATGCAAAAAAAGGACCAAAGTATCAATAAAAGGAATATGGGCCATATGACTTTTTTTTAGGCTGTGAACCATTTGCTTTGGCAGGCATTTAAGACTGCAAGGCTGTGAGAAAAACTCAAAACAATCAATACAATAGTTTACTACTACAGGGCTCACAGCTCAGTGCTGACACACTGCTGCAGTAGTGGCAGGGGATCCCTTGTTTGAGTTATATCAGTCATGAAACCGAGCAGGGTGTTAAATAAAATGGCTGCAGTATAGTTTGATAGCTGAATGTTAAAACTAGTAACTTTATCATGCTGGCAATTGAGAGTTTATGTAGGTCATTATAGATGTGGAGTAATAGAACATAACATTGAATTTCATTTTAAGAAATCCTTAATTTCTTACCTAAAATAATATATTTCTGTTTTGTCAGTTGTGTTTTTGGCAGCTTCTACCATTTATATGTGTCATGGTAAAATGGAATAAGCTTTTTTATCAATCACATATTTAATGTAAGAATGAATGAAACCGAGAAACCTACACCTTAGTATGTAGGCAAAACAATCTTGTCTTCTTATCATTTTGCTGTAGGTCTTCACTTGCATAGTATTAACAAAGCAGAAACCATGTCATGGATTATCTGCAAGGTCACTGGTCTTATCTCAATGTCAACCACACAGTTACAGACCAGCAGCTGTGACCTGGTCAGCCTTCACGAGGTCACAATGAAATAGGTCGTTTGGTCTGTGGTCCGACTTTTGTGTATCAGTCTGTCTGTGCTGGTATTCTAAGGAGTAGTCTGGCATCTGTTATAGATGCAAATACCATCTGCTTTCTTGCTGCTCAGCACGCCCCTCCTCCTCCCACTGTTCTGTTGTTTATTGAGGACTGGAGGCAGGGATCTGCGTGCCAACCCCTATAACATGTCATAAAGATGCCAGGCAAATGCATTTCTTCCACTGGGCCAATGAATAAATAAGTAAGCTCTTATATGGTCAGTCCCATTTAAAATTCTATCTCTTCCACTCCTGCTTGTTAGTTTAGAGATGTAGGTCAGATGCCAGTGCTGCAGAGAGAGCGAGGTTTTAAATAAACAAAATACTGACACCTTGTGGTTAAAATGGGGACTAACTGAGCTGTCGACAATCAGCTCCAACTAAGAACCACAAAGCGTTTAGGCATTATTCACCTCAGCAAATGCATGTAAATATACAGTCATGAACTACTTTTGACAGTATTCATGTACTAAATGATACTCTTGTAGCCTCCAAAAGTGGTTAGCTTTCACAACATAACACAAGCCAAACAATAATTTTCACCGTTAAAACATCTAACATCCTGCACTGGAATGCTCTCCAATTTAGGGCACAAACTTAATTTTCAGCTTTTTGTGGCTGTCAACAATGACTTACCTGCACTATAGCAGTTAGATTATCATGGTAATAGGATACTTAAAAACATAAATAGAATTAGTAATCAAATATTTAAGTCAAAGAAAAGGTCACAAACAAGTGTAGGGAGAGATTTTTAATCACATTCAGAGTCAAAGCAGTCAAAGATTTGCTACCCCTAATATATAATTATCTTATAATATTCAACACATTGCTGGTTGCATAAAAGGGTTCTATGTTCACACGATGTTCAAGGAATCAAAGAACTTGCTCAAGACTGTCCTGAATGATAAATACCTCTAACGTCAACACTGATCACTTGCTCTCAGGCTTAGCAGCCGAGGGATCTGCTGATGAAGTTATTTTAAAAGTTCAGAGCAAAAAGTTCAACTGAGGGTCTTTTCCCCTTCATATTCAGGTCAAACCATCCAGTTCCATACCATTTCACTATCAATTCTTTTTTTTTGATTAATCAAATAATTATTTAGTGTAGAACATTTGGTAACATTTTACATTGGTACAAAACAGTGAAAAGTGGTGAGTCACCAGCACCAACCAGAGAATATTTGATAAATTGTTAAAATGATAAATCAGTCAATTCAAAAGTTCACTAATGGATTAATTCATTGTGTTCAATAGCCTCATAAACACTCCTGTTACTCCTGGGAAGTAATATCAGATGTTTGTGAGTCCAAATGTAGCTGTATTTTCTAGTTTTTACCCACTGAGTGATATGTTTTATCAAGGCAGGAAGAAAAAATGCACCTATACCTTCATCTTTATTTATAGTGAATCCCCTTTTCTCTGTTCTGTCTTCAGTCAAAAATGTTTTCTAACTTTCCCTTAAAAGCTTGGCAGCTTTTAAGGGAAACTTGGAGAGATTTAACTCCTGTATAAACCACCTCATATTGGCTTCCAGATGTTATTTTTATTCATTTTCAGATTTGACTGATTACCTAGTGATAAAATAATAGCTTCTCACCTCCTGTGAACAGAAACACAACGCTTCCATTCAGCTTTGAAACAGTGAACAAGAATTTTAATGCTCTCACAGGATGTTGTTGATTGTGTTTGAGAAAGTGCGGTATAATTTCTGAATTCTGATGAGTAGACTCAGCGTGGTCCATATTTATTAAGGAATTAGCTTAAATCAGTATTAACCTTATACTTTATTTTCACATTAGGTGTGCAGCAATATGCCCAACAAGCATGGGCAGATGGTAGATAGATAATAATGCATGTTTAAAAAAAAAGTGCTGCTGGCAAACTCACCAGAATGTTGGTCGGTCTCTGTGCCTCCAGAGTGGAAACTGTTGGCAAGCGAGGAGCTCCAGGACACCGAGCGGCTGAGCGGATTGATAGGAACATGTCTGTGTGTTCCAGAGGAGCTGGAGGTTTGACTCTCCAGCAGGGGCAGGAACATAAAGTTGTTCTGATGACATGACCCTGCAAAACACAGACAAGAAAGAGACAAAGTGGTGATCAAAGTGTGAGTCTACTGTACCAATCGTGTTATTAAGTATCTCTATTGTTGCTTTTATCTTGAAGGGGCATCCTGTCGCATACTCAAACCATAATAACAGTTGCTTAGGTTATCAGAGGGAAAATGTAATAGATTATATGTTCATATCAGTAACATTTGATCACAGCGGTTCAGCTGCCTACTTATCCCTCTCGTGTTACTGCTGCATACATTTTTAACACGTGTTTAAAATTCCTTTTTATCCTCTGATACTTGACACTAACGAGGAACAATACGGCCTCTAGGTTTCCAAAACCAACTGTGTAACGGATCTCATCAGGTTATACTTTTCTATTGAAACCAGATAACAGTTAAACTGACGTGTAATAATGTGTAAAGACTAACAAAATATACAAAATGAAATTGTTGAGGAATGAATTTGAATGATTTCTGGAATAAACGTTTGTCTAAACTGAACTGAATCGACTTTGTTTTGTTTCCATGGACTTTATTTTCCAGCTTAAGAAAACTACAGCAATATGTCAACTGTTTTTGTTTAGCAAAAGTAAAATAATGAAGATTGGCATAGAGAACTCACTGACTGATTATCTATATATATGAAGAACTAAATCATTATCTAAGATTACCTTTCATCCTACAAAAGTAGGATATGAATTGTGTATTTTTCATGACTTTTCATTCATACAGCAAACTGTAAGCCTACACAGTAATATATGGTAAATTCTTCTCTGACAATGTCGCTGTTAATAGTTGGAATAATGTGCACAATAAGAAGAAAAATGGCTTAATGCATGTTATAAATTCATCATTGCCCTTCTTAGCCACCGAACCATTATGTTGAACTAATTGCTTTATTACATGATGTGGAGGCGGCCATTCTGAATCTTAAACAGGTCACTGCCAGGTTTAACCAAGTTAGCATACAATAATGCATTTTAATTTGTTTACAATGGAAAAATAACATCCACAGCCTCAGATTTGAATGTGTCCTCCCTCGTGTGTGTATTCAGCTTTATTAAGACCAATAGGAAGAGCCGCGGGGCTGCACTCAGAGTCCAAACAACATGACTCACAAACATTCAGAAGTATTCTACATCTCTGAAATGATTCTACACAGGTTCAATGGCAACATCTCCCTTCAGCATCTCTTCTCAGTGGAGTCCACAACAAAACAACACATGGCTGCCAGACATGCTGGTGCGTACGGTACATTATTGAAATGCCAAATTTCAAATGTGCACAGTTTATTTCATGACAGCAACGGCAATTACTACCAGAAGGCTATGCAACACAGACAGGCCTGCAAGAATGGAGGGTGGTGTAATACAGTTGAAAATACAGCAATATGTTTGAGTGAATCCAAAATAGAGTTTAACCAATTCGGTGCATGTTCACTCAGCAAGCGCAGTGTTAACAGAGATTATTGCACGTGAAGACAAAGAAATAATAGTGACATGGAAAGTGCTATATCTAAGTTACCAGAGCTCTGGACAACTGGTCAGAAAAAAATCACTTCCCCTGAAATGTGCTTTGTCCATTACAACTGTGTGGTCTAAGTGCAGTAATTTACTGTCCTGAAGATTTATAGAAAAAACGCAGAGACACTAGGTAGATCGATTAATGAGCAGGTCCTTCCTGCGCGAGCTTACTGGCACGTTGATAATTTATTTAAACAAATACATTTCAAAACCCAGAGTCACTGAATTCCTCTCTCAAGTAATTGTGAATCTATTATGAGGATTTTGAGGAAAGTGTGACTCCATGTAACAATGTAAAAGCATCATTTATCCAAGCATATACAGTGGGCACCATAGCCAGACTGTCTGGCAAATAATATTACCACCACTATGACTAAATTGCTGCTTTGCAATAGCCTAAATGTCGCAAAGCCTTTTTGGGTTAGTTGATAAGCTTAGGGGATTGCATAATACAATCAATGTATATGCACAAACACTTAACAATATGGAAATGTCAGCAGCTGATAAAGAAAATGTAATTTTGTTTGAGTGCAACCAGGTGGGCCTCTTATCCAGCAACTTGTTAATTGAATAAAAGGGGCATCAGCGTTTATCACATATAACACATATAGGCTAAAGGTGATGTATATCCAGTCTAGAGGGCATTTATAGAGGAGTCTTTCCATTACATGATGGCTACACCAACCGGGTCTGTGTGTTTTACATCTCTTAAACAGCTTACATTAGTCAGCAGTGATCACTTAAGGCCCCATAGATGTTTCTATAAAAATCATAACACTTTTGCTTCTATAATCCAATGTGTGCAGATAAAATGCTGTGTTCTTTAAGATGAATTACTGAAGTTGTATGAATCCACCAATCAATCACGTTGCAGTTTACTTCCAGTCTATGTAGTGAATACTTGAAAGGATGTGAATAAAAGGTATAAAGTGTTTGTTTTTTTGTTAAATTGAATTTATCACTATATTGATGATACAAATGTAGGGGAGAGGTACTATAACTCGTTGAATTTTTTAGCTAGAGTTCTCAAACTTTTATATAAAGTACCCACATTTGTTTACTACAAATGGCACAAATTCACTCATGACCTGATGTCAAATGCATTGTGTTCCTTTGTTACGGCCTACCCCACTACAGGGGAGGTTGTAACACATGCTTGGGTAAGTTGTAACAATTAGACAAAAGAAGTAAACATGGATGCAACACCATATGATACGCTTCAAAAACACGTATAGTGAAATAAAAGAACAATGTTTCTCTGTCTTATGACTCGCGTGTGTGTGTGTGTATGTAAATTTGTCAACTAGAACAAACTTACTTTATACCTAATAAACACTACTTCAATGTAGCAAGTTAATAAAAAAAAAATACTTTGTACATCTTTAGGTCTAACAAAAGAGACTGCATAGGGCACTCTTTAAAAATATTAAAAGCAAAAAAGTAGTTGATTCTGTATAGGGTATGGTTGTAACACTTTTTAAAGAAGTATTACAACCCCCCCCCCCCACCAAATTATTTTATCAGTTTTTATAGACTGTCTAACTGATTTATTTAGGTTTATCATAGATGTACTGGCTAAACAGGTACACATGTACTTGATCTGTATATAAAGATAGATTCTTAGAGAGTATAGCTTACTGTATATGTGGTGCTTTTGTTTTCTCCTGGCATTTTTAGATGCAATACGTTGTTTACAGTCATGTGATTCCGATCACACTCAAAATTCAGAATGAGGCAGGAAGTGAAAGGCAGGAGGAAAGCCCTTATTGTGCTTGTTATTGTTTACTCATTGTGTGGTAACAGTCAACATGTGTGTGATAGCTGGAATCATCTAATTCATTGCTAAATTATGGCTAAAAACCTATTTTAAAGTCACAATGACTTTTGGCCTTGAAGATGTGACCTTGATCTTTGTACACCAAGTTGTACATTACATTACATTATTCATTTAGCTAACGCTTTTATCCAAACGACTTACAATTGCTATATAGGTATATACATGGTCGCATGCCTCTGGAGCAACTAGGGCCATCACCACCCTGTAGTTCTAATAAGTTCATCTCCGGCCATGGCTGTCACAAGCACAGAGAAACAATAAATGTTAAAACATTAGATCCTTCTGACACAATTCTAAATAATAACCAACACTGTAAAACAGCATGCAAACTCTCAAAAAAGAGTGATTCCAAAAAAAGGATCTTGACTTCCAGCTGACTGGTAAGTGACTAAAAAGTGAAACAAGTGCTAGGTTTTTAGTTGAACCAGTTCTCTTGGTGGAAGTACTCTTTTAAAGACATTTCCTTTGACATCTCTGCTTTATGTAGTCTCTAGTGAGGAGTGACCAAAGAACATGGGGTGAGGGGGCACACACTGATGGATTGAAAGGATCTAAACCAGCTTCAAACGTTTGATGATTTCTCCTTTACCAAGCTTACAGCAGAGCCACCACATCACAATTTGCCCCCTTGTCTATGTCAGAGACTCTGCACACCACAAAACATTATCAACAGATAGAAACAGAAAACACTGTCCTATTAGCGATCATGACAGTTTTTGCCATATATATCTCTTCCTAGCTCAGTGATTATTTAGAACATCTAATAAAAGCCACAGCATTCATGCATTTGATAGTTCATTAAAGTGAATGAAGATTTCCCTAGAAAACAGTTTCACACTCCTTTCTTTAGTCTGTGGCTGACTACTGATGTTTCAGCACAAGGTTACACTGAGCATGCCTGAGTGCCGTGCAAACATGTCAATGATAAAATGAATGCTACGTTTCAAAAAGACACATTAAGTGCATTACTCGCTTCACATTATGTGATTTGTATTCTATTTATTGTAGGCATGACCACATGGTCTATTTCACATTTATGGAAAATGACATGAAGGAAGTGCCCATGTGGGTTCTTCTTAAAAAAAACTATCACTGACTCATGTAGCTTCACTAACTTTCTCCATTCATTCATTATCATCTCAGTTCATAAATAAATCACCAAGTAGATTAACAGTATGTTTCATACTGTATACTGAACTCTTCTGCACTCATCAATTATTAGCTTTTACAGCATTATTAACAGTTTTTAGAATAAAAGACTAAGCATTATAATGGACAATTGTTAACAAGTATAAGTGTACTTTTATGTGCAAGAATGTCTGTTGAGTACAAAATTAGAGTGCAAAGATGGTTTTGTTGTCATAAATGTCATATATGCATAACATGTTACAAGAGGTTGCAAAACTTATTAAAATTTTGTTTTTTAATAAACTGACTGCATAAACACTTAATTTCAAAGACCAAACCACTAAACAAAAAATACAAAAGTAGGGTAAATAACATAGTATATCCTTATAACAGATTCAGTATTCAGTAGCTATTGAATAATTTTAGTTTTACACCTAACTCGCAATTAAACCTACCTGAGGAGCTGCCAAGAGCCTGTGACACCTTGACTTCCATCGCAAGTACTTGCGCATTCAGTACAAATTCCCCATGTGTAGCCTAAGTTTAGGAATGACAACTTGAAGAATTACAAAAGCTGTCCAATCTCATGAGCCTGCCATCCCCACAGTGCAGCACTGGGCTGTGAAGTAGCCCGGGCAGTGCAGCAAAGATGGATGGGTGGAGTTTAAAGTGTAAAGTGCTACAACAATGAACTCTCAGGCTATTGATTGTAGAGTATTGATTGGGCGGAACTCCTGTATGTAGCATCAGTCACTTCATATGAAGCTTCATCATTAGTCTGGGCTACGTGTTTGGCAACAAATTATGCCTATAACAAGAGAGGAAAGCCCATACACTGTCTGAAACATATTTGACTTGGATTTGGATTTGTGTGACACTTGGCCTAAATAATCAGTTACTCTAAGTATTTTTGTATTGTGTAATGTTATCAGCTAGAAGTCCTATATTCAGTTTTCTTTCGCTTTGTGCCGTTTACCTTTAATCTAACTCAATATAGTAATTATAGGCTACTGGATTCAGGAAATGTCTTAAACCGACTATATTCTGATCCCCTCTGCATTTATCAATTAAGAATGAATGAATTTATTTATTAATTAAAAATTATTTGTGACTAGTCGTGATTGACATGCAATCCAACCATCGGTATGTAGTATTAGCAGTCAGTGGTGTTACAGTGGTGATTAATATTACTCAGGTTGTTATTATTAATATTATGACCAGGGCGATTACGTCCGTTTCGTTCATCGCCACATGGTGGTGCAGTTGGACCAGCTATCAGAGGACGAGCGTGTAGCGTACCCCCACCCCATGTCACACAGAGCTATGTTCAAAACCCTGTTTCACAAACGTTACTACAATTAACACATTTTAACACAATTAAGTTAACTACGGTGTGGTATAAATAAGACTACTGCTCTTTACTCTTTTAACTGCGAAAACAGCAGTAGTCTCATAGTCTTTTGATTGCTGACAGTTTGTTTATAGCGTAGTAGCAGAAATCTGTCATTTAACATTATTGAACATAACTTACCTTGTCAGACTAGTCAGCCAGTTGAACTCTAACCAAAACAAACTTAGAGGAGAAAATATATGGCTTGACTTAGACGTCTGCAGACATTTTTCAAATGCCGAAGCGATTAAGGAAGAGGTGTGAGGAGAACTAATTTATTAGGTGGCTCGCAGAGTAACTGGGCTCGTAGTGGTAGCTTAAGCTAGACATCAGCTAGAATGCTTACGTTACCGTAGCTAACCGAAGCCGTTAGCTAACGGTTACGTTATGCTAGACGACCCCTCAGCCGTTGGGAGTAATTTAGAAGCTGCTGCTTCTGTTGCCTTAACTGTCATACCAGCAATTTGAAATCGGCTAGTTAGGTAGTTAGCTAGTTGCCGAGATACTGATAACTTATTTTCCACGTTGCTTTTTTTGCCTCGACTATAAAATCAAGAATGGGGATGTGCCTACCTTGCCTTGGTGGAGCAGCGGACGACGTAGTTGTCACTCCAGATCCAGTGAGTTAATTTACCAAAACTTTTATTTCCAGCTGTGTCACTAAAGCAGTCGCACTTGTATTCCAATATTCAATATGGTTAGATGGAAATTAACTTCTAACGCTGCGTTAATTTGACTAATCATCTGTCAGACACCAGTAGGCCCTACTAGGCAATGTTCAGTAGGCGTTGACTGTATTTAGCTTCAGTAACACCGGCATGGTAAGTATTATGCTCCAGGCCCAGCACAGCTAAGTGAAGACAGTTTGCTTTCAGTTGTGCCTTACAAGTTTTCTATATGTGTTTTCAGGAGATAAGAAGACGACAATTAGCTGAGGCCGCTGAGAAGAGACAAAAAGAGGTAACATTAGGTTCTTTTATAAGTGGAAACCGTCTATGTGCCAAGTGCTAAAACACTGTCAAGACAGTTTTTTAATACACCAGATTATTAGGTACTAATAAATCGAATGAGTTATAATATATAAGCTCTGCACTAAATCCTACCATCTTGAAGGTAGGCTTTATTGTAGGCTGTAAGTTTGTATTGTTGTACTGAGGGGTGTCTCTAACATTTCATTAGCACTCTACAGCCTCCAAAATAACCAAAAAGCCTAGCCTAAGCGATAAATCACAACCTTGAACACATCCTTTGGAGAGATAAGATTTACTGCAGGGTTGTTTAGACTGCATTTGTTTTAGCTATATGTACTTAGTCATATAATAAGTATAGTCTATCCTTGCAGCCTGCTGTTAAATATATATACCCCATTAAAGGTAGATGCCCATGGCAGTGTGGTGAGTGATTTTTTTTTATTGTGCAGAAAAGCCACTTGCATGCCCGTAAGCGCCATGCTAAAGTTGTGTCGAGGTAAGTAGACATGGACCACAATGAAAACTATTCATGGCCAGGTGAATATTTTGGATTGGCTGATATCTCAACTACCACATCTTTCTGCTCCAAGTCACTGTTTTGATGTTCAAATCTCCCGGACAATTTACACGTTTACCACTGCAGATGAAAGCATTGAGCCCTAACCCACAGTTACATTTCAGTTAGCTGCTCCATCTTTTATCCGAGTTGACTTATTTGGCAGTTGAATGTCCATTTGCAAGTTGTGATTAAACATGCCTTATGCTTTTTGAACAGGCTGTGGAACACTTTTTTAACTTTCACTTTGAAAAGGTTGTGATAAAATAATTGACTAAAATGCTTTTGAGAACCATGCATGTGTTAAGCCTGCTTGTTTATGTTTTTAATATATAAACACGATAGAAATCCTTTTTAAATGAAGCTATTGCCTGTAAGTGCTTGATATTATTCCACTCTATTTTTTTCAGACAACATACAGGGGTGTTAAAAATCCAGAAGCGGTCGAGAGGAAAAGGAAAAAACAGGAAGACATTGAGAAACAGGCGATGACCACTTCAGTGTCCAGTGGTGGTGGGTTGAAGGTTAGTTTTGTGTTTACCATCACCAGAGCTATATTATTTCTAGAACAACAGAAGAATTGAAACTGTCGTTCCTGAGGTCCAGCACAAATTAATATCTTTAAACTCTCTTTCCTTGTGAAGCTAGAGATATTATCCAACATACAGTTTAGTGATACTGAACCATCTTTCAAGAGCAAATCTCATAAAAGCAGGCAGAGATTTATGTGACAATCCAGGGGTTCTGGTCTGTGCTTTCTAGTTTCTGCCTGAGGCTGAGAAATGCCTTGTATAAGTTGTTGAATACGTTTTACAATAATGTATTATTCAGCCAAAATCTACTGTAAACCACCACCAAAATTGATAAATCAACTAGCACTATGTCTCAAAGGCGGAAGGTTGTTATGATAATTTTTCCCTCCTTCTTTTCTAGTGGCAGGTGGGCTGAAAACATAGATGGTAAAACCTGAAGTCTTGACTCCGAAGTCCAAAACAACATGAAGTATCGCTGCAAGATGACTTGAAAGATGTTTGAACTGATGTCCTTTAAAAAAAAAATAATAATAATAATTTTTGCCTTTTTATGACGTAATGCGCAAAAGGCCACAGTTATCATGCTTCATGCAGAACAATCTGAAGTGAACACAGACAGAACATCAGGACTTGCCCCCCTGTTATAAGTTCTACAGGAAGATTTGGACCTTTGGACAAGTCAGAGATGACACTGAAATTTGCAAGCAAATACAGATCCTACTGTAATAGTTATTTGACTGTATTTGACAATTGATGACATTCTTACAGTGACTAACATTAGATAAAAAAAAAAAAAAGAATCCAGCAGTATCTCTGCGGAAGCTGTACTCAACACTATCCTTTTTTTGGTTTTCCTGGCAGAGGATATTCACTGTAAATCCACATTTCCCACATCACTTTTTGTATGACTTCTCCAAAAATCCATTATGCACATTTCACAAGTCAAACACAGTTTATGTTTACAGAAACTGAAGTGTGCTTATTGTAGAATTAATATACAGTAATAGGCACCCAGTTAACACCCGTTTTGCCTCTTTTAGAGCTCTGCTTGTTGGCAACACAAAGACAAGTGCAAACACCTCTATAGGGACTTCGTTTGTCCCTGGTATATTTTCGTTACCAGTGTGTCACATATTTGGTGATTCAATCAGGAAGCACAAACTACACACTTGACACAATGTGCAGCAGATACATGATTTTGCTGAATAATGTAAAACAACACTAAAGCATTCTCCAACCAGTAAAAATGAAAAGGAGGTGCACTTGGATACGCCCTTAAGTGACCTCGTTTACATGGCCTATAGTTCTTTGCATTGGTCTTTGCCATTGCCCCTTTAATAGAGCCTTTTCTCTGTGCAATTTGAGTTTGTTGCATTAAATTATACTGTATGCAAAACACTGATGTGATGCCTGCTTAATTTTAGATATTACAGAAATATGAAATGTGTTGCAAATTGCCATTTGACAAAAAAGCTTTTGTTAAATATTTTTTGCTGTCTATTTGCACACAGTTTATACACTGGTAAACAGCAAATATGCTTGCTCACACACAATGTTGGGAGAGATTCATGCCAACTATAATGGAAATGGGAATAAATGAAGGAAAAGAATAAGTGAAGTGTGTACGATATCTATTTTATTTACTTTGATTTGAGTGCATTTCTTACAGCCTTCACTCGATCCTTAAATGCTTCTGGTGCTCTCGACATTTTGTAGAACAGGAAATCCAATGTTATTTGCTACAATAAATCACATTTCTGCTACTCTTGTGTTTAGTCTGTTGATTCATTGAATATTTACCTGTATTTTTCAGTCTTGCATAAATGAAAAAAGTTTTAAATCCAGTGCAGAAGCCTCTTTAAGGTTCAGGCTTTTGGTCCGATAACTTCCTGTACCCAGTCCTGCTTAAAATGTTTACAGGCAAAGTAGGCAATGTTTTCATTTTACGAATTTATTGAAAATGTACATTTAAAAACCAAAACCACATTCATTTTCCAGGTAAAAGGTTGTACAAATTAATACACTAAATGATAATGATACATTAATGATAATTGTAAATTATATCTATTAGTTGTAAGAGTTTAAACCCAGAAAACAAATTCTATATCAAGTGTCAATGATTGCACTACCTCTAGAGGTCAGTAACACCACAAAATGGAAGAACTGCCAGACCTCAAATGAGTTAATCTACTGCATTGTTATCTATCATAAATCAACAAGCTTCTGTTTAACTACATACTGCATCTTTTACAGGTGATTGTCCTTACAATAGAAATGATATAAAGCAGGAGCTACCCTAACAATGAATAATTATTTAAAATGAAAATAGTATAAAATGTGTTGCATAGCATAGTTATTCAACATGTAAACAATCTAAGTATTGCTTAATTTTCTTAGTCAAATAAAATTACAAAAAAATACATCATAAAGAAAAGGCCATAAGATTTTATGGCCAATGTGTGCTTTCTAGGAGAGATTTGGCCTTTTTAAAGAACATTCTGCAGTGGACTACCATGTAAAGATTTGGTAAATTACATTTCTTTGGATAGTAAGTTTCCCACTTATTCCTAAAATTTCATTAAACTTTAGTTGTGCAGTGCGGTGGCCACTAGAGCCACCTGTGTATTCAAGGCATTTAGGATAGAAATATCAACCAAATGGGGGGGGGGCAATTAATTGCCATTGTGGAAAATGTGTATTTGCTTTCAACTATCATACACACCAGCTTGCCAAGGAATACTGGCTTCTATAAGTGTCTGAAACCTCCACCACTTACTTTCATTCATAAAAAGGTCTGTTTTAAACATGTACAAACAGCCAGGTTCCATATGCCTGATTGACTGCATGAAAGGAGCATATGTGCTAAAAACTGAAAAGATTCTACCTACTATAAGTGATATATTGTTTACAGTACAGCTCAAAATACAAGTCAAGGTAATGTACAGCTTCACTTTTACCCAGTTAACTCACTGTATTGTAACGACTGACACATTTTTCAAAGCACACAAGTCTGATTCCAGGCTTCATCTGCTCACAAACATCCATTTGACAAGTGTGCCAAGAATGCATTTGTGTCTGCAAACATAATGTGTAAAAACAAGGTTATGTTATATAGCCATGTCCATTAGAGATTAAATTGCAAGAAGTCAGCCTCTGTGTGCTTTTATTAATGGCACTTTTCAGTCTCATGTCTTCACTTTTTGCTGCGGTAGTGAGCTGCCACCACCAGGTAGCTGTCCGGGGCGAGGTCCTTGATGTTGGGCGACTTGCTGCTGATGGGGGATATCTTGCCCTCTACCCGGGAGAACTGGAGCATGCGGCATGGGTCGTGTTTCAGCAGGTAGCTCTCAAAGGTCTCCCAGCCTCCACCAACACGCACCATCACATGCTTGTTGTGCAGCATCTGCAAAGAGAAGTAGGATTATAATGCCACTTCTGATGTCTGTGTGTCAAAGGAGAGCTTTAAATGGTTGTTGCTGAGCCCTTTGTTCTATAGGACTAATGTCGTTTCACTGATTGAGCCTTTGTCTCTCAGGCAGACGTTGAATGAACAGTTAAGCATGGCTTTGATGTCTGAGGTTGTTCATTGATGTAGGGGGCCTCGGACAGGTTGATGTCCCTGGAGAGAAGCTTTCTCCATCTCTTACCAGCCTAATGGCATGTTGAGCCGGCTACAGACAAACAGAGTGACTGATTGATCTTACTGTTTGATTTCTGGAATTGAATAATAAACAAGAGTAAAGAGTCTCCAATGCTAATGATCTAATGCTAATGTTTACCATGTATACCATCTTTGATTAGTTTGTTTACATGCTAACATTAGCTAATTATCATTAAACACAGCTGAGGTGAATGGGAATGTTGCAAGTATTGAGTCGTAAACCAAAGTGTTGCACACATAAAAATTTTGATCAGATAATGGTGCTGGAAGCTATTACAATGAATCACTGGAGGGTATGAATATCTACACCAACTTACATGGCTTCAATTAAAACCCACAAATGTGAACCTTTGAGTGGGCACTAGAGACAAAATCAGGCCATCTCCAAAGTCATTAGGAACATAATTAGGGAACAATGAATGTCTGTACAAGGCTTTGTGCCAATCCACCTTAGATGTAGTAGATGTAAGAACTGGAAAAGTGAAAACTTTGACCTGTTGGTTGCGCAAGAGGAAAAGTCAGTGAGTTAAAATCACAAGGATTCATCCTCTGGGGACCATGAAAGTCTTCACCAAATGTCATTGCAATCCATCAAATAGTTGTCAAGACTTTTCACCAAGAAACAAAAATGTCACATTGTTGGTGGCGCTGCGGGAGCAATCAGGCTCACCAAAGCAGGATTCATCCTCTGGGGACCAAGAAAGTCTGTTCAAAGGTTCATGGTAGTCCATGTTAATAATCTGAACTAAAGTGGTGGACTGACTGACAGACTGACAACCAGACAGACCGGCTTGGCTATACGTGTACCCACTGCTTCAAGGAATTATTATTTTATAGATATTTTTCACCTTGCAAAGTGCAGCTGAAGAAAGACAGGAAATGCAGGAGAGAGAGGGAAGGGTACCATGGCAGCATCAGCCATCATAATAAACAGAAGAATTACATTCCCCAGAGGATGTGCACATAAAACATGTCTGCCTCACTATGGAGCCTCATCACCCCCTACTGTACCTCATTAACACGCCATTAGAAGCCTGTGTGTAAATTAACAGGTCATTATTAAGACTCTTTGGATGCTATATTTGTCTTTAAGAACACAAACAGTAGGAGAATGATTCAGACAAAACTAAATTGTTTTATAAAAAGCATAAAGTACCTTGTGAGGTTGTCACCTCAGTCTGGTCAGAGATGAGGCTTCTTGCCCTCCAGCAGCGTAACATGCAACATTTATAAGCCTCTTAAAAGAATCAATCAAGAGGGCAACGGTGGGGCAGTGCTTCCAATCACTAGGGCCAGGCCTTCAGGCTTTGTGACTGTGGATTTAATGGACCTCTGTGATGCAGAGGGGTTTCAATCATGCTGCTTTGGGACCAGACCCTTGTTGGAGCCCATTGCCTCCTCAGCGGCCCAGAGAAGGACAGGGGCCCGGGGCTGAGCTTGGACAGCACTTCTCACAAACACTGTGATGTTACGCTGCCCCCTTGCTGAGGCTATAGCCACCTCATTTATTCCAGGAGCTGGGAAGGTCAGTCGCTCAGGCTATAAAGATCATTGTGCAGCAGACTCTTATACGTGCTACATGTCCTTGCTCCACGGCTGCTTGCAGACAGTGACTTGGCTTAACTGTATTCATGCCTCTTTAGTGGAAGCAGATCCTGGAGGGCAAAACCATCTGAGGAATTTTAATTAAAGCATCTTGACTGTTAAAGGCATACTGCTTGAGCAAAAGAGGTTTAACATTCGCTTTGGCAAACAAATGGTAATGCTCATGTTTGTTTTTGTGCCCATTAAAGGGTTTTTGGGGAGTTTTTTTCTTCTCTAAATCAAGGTTATATGCATAAAGGGATTCATAGGCTGTAAAGATTAGGGTAAATATATATAAAAAAGCTTGACTTGACATGTGAGATAGTGTAGACTAGAAACTCTATAGCAGACTACATTGAACCAACACTGTGAGCTTCTCACCACTTGTCCTTGGTTGCTCAGCAACACAATGAAGACTGAAGCACTCAGTCATCGAAAAGGCATCAAATGATGATAAATATTCAGATTTACACAGAATCTCATCTTATTCTAGCAGAAAATTAGAGTCTTACTGTCTTTATTTATATTTCAAAACAACTTTGTTCATCCAAAACAATGATTGAGATATGATTTGGTTGAGAACTTGGTTGCAATATAATGGGCCGACAGCAGAGGACACGCAAGATTGAACTCCTTTTGAATGTTTTCACATCCCAAACATACCATCATGAATCACATTCTTAGAGGTGTGAATTCTGGTTGTGGGTTGCCAAGTAACCAGGATCCCAAGGGGACCAATGTCTTTAATCTGTGTTCGCCTCCATTTATCTTTCTCCAGTATCTTTTATGTCTCCATTCAGAGAAAGTCGGGTAAAATTTCCTGCTCTGATGGATTCAAAATGATTATAAGATGTAATTAATACGATGGCCAGTATTGGGTGAAATAGCTCAGTAACATATTTCCATGTAATAACTCGGTCATCAGATCATATGGAAACGTGTGGATGTTATTTTCCTTTTGCAGCCAGTGAGACACATTATGTTTTGGCTGAAGATGGACATTGTCAGAATACCATTACCAGTAAACGAGACCTCACAGCAAAGGCAGGCTCACCAGACACAATGGGTTACTTTCATCCCGAAGACAGCCCCATGTATCAACATACTGCCATATGCTGTGTGAATGGAGAGGGGTTTGCATTGCAATGTGAGACCTCATTGTTATCAACCCCAAACTGATTTGAAAATGATTAGAATGGATGGAATTGGATTAGCAAAAATGTGAACTTGTGTCATTTTTGGGAGGTTTTCTCTGTCCATGTGATTTGACTGTATATCCACTCAGTATAAAAAAAAGAAAACACAATTAACTGGCATGACATGTTTAACAGCAGAGATCCAAATGTCTAGTCCAGTTCAGTTAGATACAGTCACTTGTACTTCTTTATTGTTACCAATGCTATACTTTTGAATAAAGGGAAATATTGCGCTTTTTACTCTACACTTATTATTTATTTATTATTTATTTCAATAATTACAAGAACTACCATCAGTTAAAAGAAAGCCATAAGATAAAAT